CTATCCCCTCTCTCCCTCAGGCTTGCCCCACAGAACATCTCCTATCCTATCCTCTTCTCTCCCTCAGGCTTGCCCCACAGAAGCCTAACCTATCCTATCCCCCTACTCTCCCTCAGGCTTGCCCCACAGAAGCCTATCCTATTCTATCCCCCTTCTCTCCCTCAGCCTTACCCCACAGAAACATCTCCTATCCTATCCCTCTCTCCCTCAGGCTTGCCCCACAGAAACATCTCCTATCCTATCCTCTTCTCACCCTCAGGCTTGCCCCACAGAAGCCTAACCTATCCTATCCCCCTTCTCTCCCTCAGCCTTACCCCACAGAAACATCTCCTATCCTATCCCCTTCTCTCCCTCAGGCTTGCCCCACAGAAGCCTCTCCTGTCCTATCCCCTTCTCTCCCTCAGGCTTGCCCCACAGAAGCCTCTCCTGTCCTATCCCCTTCTCTCCCTCAGGCTTGCCCCACAGAAGCCTATCCTATCCTATCCCCCTTCTCTCCCTCAGCCTTACCCCACAGAAACCTCTCCTGTCCTATCCCCTTCTCTCCCTCAGGCTTGCCCCACAGAAGCCTCCCCTGTCCTATAGCAATAGCAATAGCACTTATATACCGCTTCACAGTGCTTTTACAGCCTTCTCTAAGCGGTTTACAGAGTCAACATATTGCCCCCAACAATTTGGGTCCTCATTTTACTGGCCTCAGGAGGATGGAAGGCTGAGTCAACCTTGAGCCTGGTGAGATTTGATCTCCTAAAGTGCTGGCAGCCAGTGATCAAGAGAAGTAGCCTGCAGTACTGCACTCTAACCACTACGCCACCAAGGCTCCTATCTCCTTCTCTTCCTCAGGCTTGCCCCACAGAAGCCTCTCCTGTCCTATCCCGTTCTCTCCAGAGTTATTGTCAGGTTGGGAGGGGGAATACAATGTTTAACTAATTAGCATCAGAGCGTGTTAATAATAATATAGAAAATACTAATGATCTGATGGTCATTTTGAAAAATCCTTTCTTAGTGAGCACCTAGAAGCCAAGAGGAACATACGTGCCAAATTTCAAGTTTGTAGGCTTTACGGTTCTGGAGATTTCATGATCGTGGCGTGAGTGGTTTTCACTGTTATATATCTAGATTACAGAACAGTAGATTCCAACCCAAATTTCTTAGAATGCAATCTAGGGACAAGATTTCCAGACAAGGTGACCAAAACCTCTCTCTCTGGTTCTGCAATTCTGGGGAGCTGCATGAAGTCCTTTGAGCACAGAAGGTCTGTAAAACATGGCCGGGTGTTGTGTTCGGGTGTTGAACAAAAGGAACCAGTGAAAAGGCAGAAGAGGGGAAAAGAGATGCAAGCTGAACAGAATGGGAAATGGGAATTAGCGATTGGAGAGCAGTGCTTGGGAAGTCAGCGAGATGGGAACCATTGAGTGTTCAGCAACCATCTTGGCATGTTAATTCTGGCTTGCGAAGCCGCTTAATTTGTCTCAGGAGTGTCATCCATCCACACCCCCTGAAACAGCTATTTGCACTTTTAAAGAGGAATCCAATTGTCTTACTCTCTTTGTCTCCCTCCTGCACCTGCTACCTCCTGACAGATTTTGTGAGGCATAATTGTGGGCTTCGGAGTGTTTTATTTTAAACACTCCCCCTTCTTCAGTCTCTCTCCTCTAAAGAAAGATGGCTCTTGATCATCTGGAGAATAAAATTTTCACCCGCTGCTCTTTCACACACTATTCGGAGAGAGAGAGAGAGAGAGAGAAAAGTCTGTTTTTACTATTTTTTAACAACATTTTGGCTTAGGGTTTCTGTTCTGCTGTCCAGCAGTCCCAATTTTTTTAAAAGTGCGACTGGTATTAGAATAATAATTATGGATGCATTGTACCAAATAATTTAGTCATAAAAGACCTTCTCATCTTACTGTCCTTTAACATATTATCTATGGGCCAAAAAGTAAGAATCTAGGCCTTGTTCTTTTTTCTTTTTAGTTTGCATTAGTTTTTACTGTTATGCACTGTAATATTTAATAAAATGACTATTAAAAGACTGGTAGAAAAGCCCACATATGGGCCACGACATGGTGATGTAAGTTTTTTTTAACCTTGTTTTTTTTTTTTGGCAAGTAGCCCTGCCTGATGTCACTTTGCAGCAGATTCTTTCCAGATAAGAATTTTGTACTGAAGCATTTGAACACATTGCAAATCCACATTGCATTTTGGGGTGTTAGTCTAGCAATACAAAACTGGATTTCTTCGCAGGCCGGATCAGCATTGTAGTTCTCCTCCACAGGCTAGCGAAGGGAGGGAGACGGGGAGATGGGACGGATGCCTCCTGGAGCACTTTGCTAGCCAAAACAGGGCACAGGGTGCCAGGCGTGCCCCCCTGGTTGGCCCCCCTGTGCCCCATTTTGGCTGGCAAAGTGTTGCAGGAGGCAGTCCAGGCCAAAAAAGGAGTACAGGGGGCCGCATCAGGGGGCCGCATACAGCCCCCCCCATGCCCTGTTTTGGCTGCCAGAGGCACTGTGGGCCAGTCCTTTGCTATTTCCAGGCCAGCCCCGAGGGCCAGATTTAAGCACCCCAGATGCGGCCTGCGGGCCTTGAGTTTGACACCCCTGTTCTACAGAGTCCTGTTAGATCCAAACACAATTGATCTGTAGACTTTTTCCTTCTGCTTCTATTAAGGTATGTTCATGAGGGGTTACCTAGCCCAATTCCAGAGCAAGAATAATTCTCCTCTCTTTGAAGCTAAACAATCAGAAAGAAGTTTGCTGGAAGCTTTTGTTCTGTTGAAGAGAATTGGCTGTCTGTGGGGAAGGATGTCAGGGCGTTGATTAATCCCATGTTTGGCTCTGGGAAAAATCACCCTGATTTATTAGAGGATGGATCGAGGCTTATTCCTTGTTGCAATATTCTGAAAAAGAAACGTGAAGAAAAGTTTCTAATAAAACTCATTTATTTGTTATAAAGAAAATAAAACACCTCACTAACTAAGAAAAGTAATTGCTACATTTTTGAAATAATTCTTGCCGGCTATTTCTCAGCCGGACCTTGCTGGAAAGAGAACAAAAGAAAGAGTGTGTGAAGCAAGTGAAAGAATGCGGACATGCGTAGTAAAATACTGATAAGGAACTTGGCAAACTACAGTAAGTCTATTAGTCCAAAAATAATGAAGCTCAGCTGGGAAATAAAAAAAACGCAGTGACAAAGAAAATAGAAGCCCCACCTCAGATTGTAGGATGCCAAACTTCTAACTAAAGAGTCTAATTATATAGCCTGGTTTTAAAGTTTGGTTTTATTCTCTTGTGCTCCGGACAAGTATTTGATTTCTGTCCTCCCTTAGAAGGGAACTATCTATTGGTCCTTCGTTCATACTTCTAAATCGAGGTTCTTTAATTCTAACACCCATTCATATTTTTCTTTACCATGGTATCTTCTTAATATACTCTGAATATACTTTAAACATTTCGGATTCCTCTTTTGTGTCTTGCAGAATTGTAGTCCACTAACATACCATAGAATAGGGATCCCCAATCCCTGGGCCCTGGCCTATTTGGAATCAGGCCACACAACCGGTGAGTGAGTGCATGCACGCATGAAGCTCCATTTGTGTGAGTGGTGTGGGTGCATGCATGCAGCTTGTACAAATGGAGCTGCACATGTGTGCTCATCCGCCGCTCGTGAGGAACCATCGTCTCCCTAACCCCCCCTGCTGACACTGCTGCAGGTTCACAAAACTAGAAAGGTTGAGGATTGGTGCCATAGAAGGCCTAAGTTTCTCCTGGCTGATTTCCAGATGCTGGGCTTAAGTTTTCTCAAAGGGCCAAGAGGATGCTGCAAAGAATACCAGCTCAGGATCATTGATATGGCATCACACCAGACTGCCCTGGCTAGGTGAGGACAGGGTGAGAAAGACTTCTGCCGAAAGCCACGGGCAGGAGTAAATGTCCTTCACAGAGAACGTGAGAAGGTGGAAGAAGCCCCTTTTGCACCCTTGGGTTTAAAGTGTGTAAAGTAGAAGGCATCTAATGCAAAAGTCACCCTTCTCCATCTGACACCCCCCACCCACACACTTTCTCTGGAGATGACATAGGAACTGTAGTCCAATTTTGGAGAGGCAGGTGCAGTGGTGAAATCCAAATTTTTTTTACTACTGGTTCTGTGGGCATGGCTTGGTGGGGTGGTGCGGCTTGGTGGGCGTGTCTTGGGGGTGTGGCAGGGGAAGGATGCTGCAAAATCTCCATTCCCACCCCACTCCTGGGAGAAGGATATTGCAAAATCCCCATTCCCTCTCCACTCCAGGGGGAAGGATATTGCAAAATCTCCATTCCCATCCCACTCTGGAGCCAGCCAGAGGTGGCATTTGCCGGTTCTCCGAACTGCTCATAATTTCCGCTACGGGTTCTCCAGAACCTGTCAGAACCTGCTGGATTTCACCCCTGGGCAGGTGTAGTGGTTTAAGTCATCAGGCTAGCAACCTGGAAGCCCGTGAGTTCTAGACCTGCCTTAGGCACAAGGCCAGGTGGAAGACCTTGGACCAACCACTCTAGGAAATTCCCTTAAGAAAACTGCAGGGACAAGTTCAGGTAGTCGCCAGGAGTCACAGACTGACCAGAAAACATGTGTGCGCACGCACATACACCCAAAAACCGATTCATGGGTGAGGGGGTGGGGGTGGGATCCATGTTGGACAAAAGTCTGTTCCAACAACCCCTCCTTAATTCCCAAAGTCATGAGGGGGGGCCATACTCAGGGTCTCAGACTTCCTTTCCAGCTAGGCAACGTTTTCCTGCCCCCTCCAGCAAGTGACTCATGTGCTGCTGTCACAGGCCGCCCACCCAGTTGTTGCCAAGATGAGAGCTAGAAGGGGGGGGGCTTTCCTCCCAAGTGTCCTCCTACCTGGCGCCCGCCCCTGCCCGCGTCCCTGGGCTGCTCGGCAGCGGTTTCCTCAGAGCAGAGCCAGCCCTCGCCTCGCTCGCCCAGCCAGGACCCCTCTCTCTCCAGCGGCTCTGCCCCCCCCCCTTTTTTTTCCCCGCCTTCTCTTCCTCCTCCGCGCGGATCCGCTCCGGGTTTCCCCGGATCCCTACGATCCAGGCCGGGTCTCCGCGTTCGCTCAGCCTCGCCCGCCCAGCGCTCGTGCTCCCCGAGACTCGACTGCGCCGGGCAGGGTCGCTGGGGGTTTTTTTTTTTTTTTGGCCGCCCGGGCGGGAGGGCTGTGGCCCCGTCGGCCGGCCCGTTCGCCTTGGGCAGCGAGGTCAGGCTGACCATGCACCGGGTGGTCTCCAACCAGCGCTCGGTCTCCTCCTCCTCCGGCTCCTTCCAGGCTCCCCCGCCGCCTCCCCCCGCCGCTGCCGGGGATCTGCAGCCGCTCTTTCTGGGCGGCGGCGGCGGCGGCGGCGGCGTTAGCAGCACCAGCAGCTCCAGCGGCGGCACCCGGAGGGGCAGGCGGGGCTCGGTTTCCAATTCCGCCTCGACCCGGACCCGGAGCAGCAGCAGCAGCAGCAGCAGCCGCGGCACCAGCACCAGCAGCAGCGACCGCAGCAGCGAGGAGGACGAGGACGGCGAAGGGGAAGAAGCCAAGCCGCTGGTGCCGGCTCAGGAGCCCGCCTCGCCGGCGGCCGTCGTTGCCATTCCCGCCGCCGCCTCAGCCTCCGTTTGCGCCTCGTCAGGCTTCAGCAGCTCCTCGTCGTCGGGCTGCACCATGACCGCCGGCGAGCTGTACGGGGCTCCTCTGGCCGGGCCGGGGGCGGCGGCGGGCCCGGCGGCCGGGCTGCTGTGGGCGGGGGGCTTCGGCGCCGGCCCGGCGGGCCCGCGTTGGGGCTACCAGGCGCTGTCCTTGGTGCTGCTGCTGGGCCAGGGGGCGCTGCTGGACATCTACCTCATCGCCGTCACCGACTTGTACTGGTGCAGCTGGATCGCCACCGACCTGGTGCTGGCGGCCGGTTGGAGCATCTTCTTCTGCCGCAACAGCCGCGCCCGTCGGCGGGAGCGCCCGTTGGGGGCCGGAGGAGGCCACCCGCCGCCGCCCTTGCACCCGCTGCTGGGTCACGGGCCCTACGGCGGCAGAGGCGGCGGGGCGGGCTCGGGGGCCAAGCCGGGGGCCGCTCCGCGAAGCGGCGACTTCGCCTACGCTCACTTGGCCTGGCTGATCTACGCCATCGCCTTCACGCCCAAAGCGGCCCTGATCCTGGGCACGTCCATCCTGGAGCTGGTCGAGCTGCGCCTGCCGCTGGGCGCCACGGGCTTCCGCATCACGCTGGCGCTCTCGGCCCCGCTGCTCTATTGCCTCCTGCGCGCCATCAGCACCGATCCCGGCGGCGGCCAGTTGCTCCTGCCGCCCCAGCCGCCGCCCCAGCACCGCGCCTCCGCCGCCTTCCTGGCCACGTGCTTGGACCTGCTGGACAGCTTCACCCTCCTGGAGCTGCTCCTCCTGCAGCCGGGCCGGCCCGCCTTGGCCCTGCCGCCGCCCGTCCGCTACGTGCTGATCGCCGTCTATTTCTTGTGCCTGGCCTCGCCCGTGCTCTGGCTGTACGAGCTGAGCGCGCCGCGGGCCCCCGGCGCCGCCCGCCTGGCCTTGCACTGGCTGCTCCCCGCGGGACTCCTGGACGCGCCTCTGCTGGCCCTGCGCTGCCTCCTGCTGGTGCGCTACCAGCAGCCGCTCTCCATCTTCATGCTCAAGAACCTCTTCTTCCTGGCCTGCCGGGGCTTGGAGGCCATGGAGACCTGCTACCTTCTCCACTCTGCCGGCGGCCAGGGCGGCCAGGGCAAGAGCGTGCCCGTCCTTTCCACGGGCGTTGGGGCTGGCCAGCTCAGTCACTGCATCTCAGAGAACGACATGGGGCCCCATGGCTACGTCAACACATTGGCCGTCACTGCCCAGAGCTGAGGACAAAGGGAAGGGGTTTCAAAGTCAGACTGGGGGAGAGGGGCTTCTTTCATCCTGCCCATCCATCCTCTGTAAACTGTATTCCTTCTTAATCCAGTTTAGGTGCCCAGCTCTCTCTGGTTATTTTGTGTTTATAGCTGTCCAAGTTATTTAGGCTTCCTTCAGGAGATGGCATCCATTCAGTCGTCCCACCAAATTTACTCCTTCTCCATGACTGTGTTGGTCACTTACTGAATGCAACTGGAAAGTGGGGGTTCTGCTAACCTGTATTTACTTTGTAGTCTTTATACCTTTCTTCCCCCATATATTTGTGAAGTTTCCTTTTGGTCAAGTCTTAATTATGAGCTCTCCCATACTATCCTTGTCATTGTTCACAAATCCACTCCATATCTCAGTTGGCTTTCTGAAGACTCTGCCACACAAGGACTTCCCTGTAGATACTTGGCTGATAATGTGAACATTGGCTTATGGTGATTCCCATCAGGGCAAGGATGTCCATGCAGCAGTAGTCAAGATGGGTAGAATGCTTTATGAAATGGATGCCTGGACGGAGAGAACCCGTGTAATTTGGATCTCTTGTTGCATTCTTCATGCTATTCTTGCTTCACTCTCTTCTCTACCCAACCATTTATAATCATAGGCATATGTAACTTTTGGAAATGTATACAGATATCTCTTCTCCAAGGGAATAGGTGCATTCCCATCCCATTCCCAATTAATCCCAGTATTGAATCCACTAGGCCTAATGATGGCAGCAATAAGCTTTTTCATCAAAAACAAAATCATCCCCACATTTAGAGTCCTGAGTTCTAAATATTTTCTTTCTACACCTGACCCTATTTATTCTATAGATTCTAACAGATGCTTTATGTGCTGTGCTGTGCTACGGACTCCTTTTTGCTCATCTCCTATGATTTCAAGGAGAAGGCGGCAGCTTCTTAGTCTTTATCCTCCAAAGAAAGGGGGAAATGTACATTATTTTCATTTCTTCACCTTGTCAGGTTTCCCACTCACCTGTCCTTGCTGAGGTGCCTCCTGCCATCAATGCCTACAATGAAGGGAGAACTGGGGACAAGCCAACCACTTGTGGCATGCTGTGGAAAGATCATGAAGCTTTGTCTGATATATTCTTCTAAACTGTTCAGATTGTCCATACGTACAGCATCTCAGAGTGTCCCTCCTGCAGCAGTGGCTAAAATCTATTTTGGGTTGAGTCAGACTCTTGGTAACATCATGAATATATCTACGTAGTTCTCTTGGCAACCAAACAAATGCAGCTTCCACATTGCTGCCTTCCTGGTTTTTTTAAACAATTCTCAAGCTAGCCTACCTGCCTGGATTTCCTAATGGACTTAAGTATTGATGGCAATGCTGACTAATGAAAGAAAATGATTATTTTTTTGCTGATGCTATGTTGGAATAGTTCGATGAATAAGGATATGGAGGGGATTTATCCAACTGAAAAAATGGAGGATCCTGATCAGATGGTCCTCTGATATAAACATTATTTCTATGTCAAAATGACATGTCAAGGCATGTGAATTTTAGCTTCTTCTCTACCAAATTTCTACCCATAGATTCTAGGTTTGTGGGGGCGGGGGTGGGAGACTTATGGATGTGAGTTATCACCCGCAGACTGAACAACCTGGGCACGAAAATACCGTCTTGAGAGTTAAGCCATTTTTCTTTTTAAATGTGCCTCTCCTCAGCATTGCTGCTCTAAGGTGCTCTAGTTGTACCAGCTGCTTTGACCAAGGGCAAATCAAGGAGACTTTTTTTTAACAATTGTTTCCTTTTCTACATTCCCTTGGCTAACAGTGTGGAGGAAAAATTCAGCATAAAGATCCCAAACATCTATAAGAATAAATCAGTTAAGATTCACCTCTCCGGAATCTACTGCAGGTTCCTTTTCTTCTTAAGGTGTCCAAGGATTCAGCCACATATGTACTGTAGGCTGATTTTTTTATCTTTTGCACAATCATAGTGCCCTTTATTGCTTTAATCTTGTCCTCTCCTCTTGAATGCCAAGGCTCCAAAGTACTCCATAGAGTATCATGATACTCTTGATCATTGTAACCAACTGTCCTGGACCTTGCCTTCCTCAGCATGCCTGCCTTTTAAACCCCTGGCTCTCTCTTGTATCTCCTTTTTAAAAAGGTTTTTTTTTTTAAAATCACCAACACCTGCTGTTCTCCTTCCTCACAGAGATAGAGAGTCCATTTGGGGAAAGTTCCTGGAATTAGGGTGCTGCCTACACTCTTGTAAGAAGAAAGGTGTTCCCCTTTCCTTTGCTGATGTCTACCTCTGTGCTTGAAACTTATTGCATCTGGAGAGGGGCCTGAATGTCCATCTCTCTTGATTAACAGCTAACTCGCCGGTGATAACAGGGTCTTTTAACAACCTCCAACTGAGGCATTCATGTCTCTTGGGATAAGCCTTGTATGATTTCAATAAATTGGTGCTCTGTTTTGAGGACAGCCTTCATTCAGGTCTATTAAGTTCTACTTGCTAAAAATGTCCATTCGAGGCAGGCCAAATGAATTGGGATTAGCCTTTTTGTACCTGTTAATCCATGAGTGTGACATAGCTTCTTCATACGTTCAACCTAATTTGATAAGGGATTAACATGCAAAGATCACTAGTGGCGAACTTGGATGTCTTGGCAAGAGTCCTAACGTTTCATAATGCAGCCAGGCTTCAACAGGGCTAGATAAAGCTCCAAATTTGGATGAGGCTCCAAAGTGAATTTAGAGTAACCTGTTTTCAGTCACTCATGCTTTTTAAACATTTTCTTGCACACGAAAGGCTTAGAAATGATGGTAGGTGCAGTGATTGGCAAGTAAGAAAATATTCACCTACTCACTTTTTCTCAATACCTACTTTTTCAGAGAATCAAATTATTGGACATAAGATGGAAGAAATGTAAAGTTACATCTTTCTCCCTATAAACTGGCTTGATCAAGACGACTATTCCACAAAAAGATGTAAAATGCCTATGATGGCGTGTGGGGGAAGCACTGCTTTCTCCTTAATTCAGTAATATTCTTTGCAATTAAGTTATCAATTATGAAAAAATGAATAAAGGACCTGATCCTCCAATGTAGTTTTAAAACTACACTTTACTCTTTTTTCCTCTATAATTTATGAATAAAGGTTTCCATTGGGTGCTTCATTATGTAATCCTATACAACTCTTGGGATGTTTGCTAAACCTGTTATTACAGGAATGAAAATGGTTTAACTCTCTCACTAGTGCTTTATTCTGGTCTCAAAGCAGAGCTTTTGAAGAACAGTAGTGTAAAATTTTGGCCAGAGGCCTCCCCTTTAGTATTTCCTTTCTATTTGTCTGGACAATCTTGGTGCTGTGATTGTGATTGTGAAGCTTAAGTACTGTGCACTCTTCCCCCTGCCCTTTCCTGAACTCTCTGATATTTTAAATGGGGATGCTAGTTGCCTACTAAAGAAATACCATGTTTTATCTGCTCCCCCAAATATCATTAGAATACATGCAACTGTTGCCTTTTGAAACAGTTGGGCTAATCTTTTGTAGCATCAATCACTTCATATTTCATAGCACTGGAAATAAGTATTAAACCTTGGCCCATATTGAACCTTTTACAATGATACACACTTATTAACTGAAATAACAATGACTGCAAGTTGTTATGCATTAGTTTAAGTAGGCATTATTGAAATGATAGCTGACTGCAAGCTAGCATTCAAATTTGAACTACAGTTACCTGTAGGAAGTTATGTCCCATACCCTTAGTTTTAAGCAGCAAATTTCCAGTGTATGACAAGGGCAGCTATACAAGCAACAATATTATGGAAAATAAAACAGTTATATAGCCCAGGAAACTTAGCATCCCCATACACTTAACAGAGTGTTAAGAAAAATAAAATAAAAATTTTGTTCTTAAAATAAAAAGAACGTATTTTGGCTGATATCTGGTTAAATATTTGCAATTCAGGTATGATAAAAATGTATCACTTATCCTCCCAATTTTAAATTAGCAAAACCACAGAATTCAGGCAATTCCAATTCATGTATCAAAATACAATACAATATAGAGACAAGATGCTGACTTATAGTTGGCAATAGGCTGGATATTTATTGGCTCTTTTGTTTTCCTTTTTGCTGGAAGATTTAAAAAACATCTCTTATGGTCTGGATACTTATCAAAACATGCATTGGGAATTTTCAGTTCTTCAAAATTTGAGGAAGGAGCTGGTATGCAGTTTTCCATATGTATATTTCTTCACTATCCACCTGTCATGAAGACTTTGGGCTATGAGAAATCATCTGCATTACTTCTACAACTTGACAAGATAAAATGTTTGCTTTGTGGCATAAGATAACAGGTACACTTCATGTAGACCTAGCCATTTTGACTGCAATGGATACATACCTGTCAAAAGTCTTATCATTTTTCAATGGTACAAATCTTAATTAGAGTTTATGCTAATCTCCACTGCAGGGAGTAGAAGTTAAAGTTTCATTTGAATCATTTGATCTTAGTTTGAAGGCCACAAAAGAGTTTCAAGTTCTTAACTTTTTATATAGCTACAGAAAAGGTAGAAAGGTATTGAGGATGGATGCATTTTAGAAAACTCAGAGGCAGTCAAGTTTAGCTGTTGCAACAGATACACAAGATATTTATAACATTCCACTGGTTGTTTCAGATTTTAACTATGTATAATTACAGGTAGTCCTTGACTTACGACCACAATTGAGCCCAGAATTTCTGTTGCTAAGTAAGACAGTTGTTAAGTGATTTTTGCTTCATTTTACAACCTTTCATGCCACTGTTAAGTGAATCACTGCAGTTGTTAAGTTAGTATTACGGTTATTAAGCGAACCTGGCTTCCCCATTGATTTTGCCTGTCAGGTGGTCACAAAAGGGGATTACATGACCTTGGGAGACAACAACATAAAGTTGAACCAGTTGCTAAGCTTCTGAATTTTGAACGCATGATCATGGGGATGCTGCAAAGGTCGTAACTGTGAAAAATGGTCATAAATCACTTTTGTCAATGCTGTCGTAGCTTTGAACGGTCACTAAATGAACCATTGTAAATCGAGAACAACCTGTAGTTTCTGGGCAATGATCATCGGAGCAGATTACATTAAATCAGTAGATCCCAAAGTGGGCGGTACTGCCCCCTGGGGGGCGGTGGGATGACTTAGGGGGGCACTAAGAGGCAAGGGGGGCGGCAGAGAAGTGCTGGAGGTGGGCTCGCACGGCGTTGGCCATTCCTCTTCCGGGTTCGCAACCCGAAAGCTCAGATTATGACTAGCTGGCCAGTGTGCATGCGTGCACCAGAAACTGAAAGTTTGTTTCCCGCCGCACGCATGCCCACTGGGCAGCTCCTCTTACCATACGTGAACTGTTGGATGCTTTCTTATTGCTCTCCTTGCTTGCTTGCTATTGGTCGCTGCTTGCCCGAACCACCCAGCCTAGGCCCAGCTGCTTTGCTCCTCGCCTGCTTGACTGCTGTCACCTTCCTAGTTTTTGGTAAGTTGCAGGTGGGCTGCCATGGGGGATGAGGGCCTGTGGGGGTGGCATGGCTGGCTGGTGGTGGTGGTGCCGGGCCGCTCAGGAAGGAGGAGGGCTGCAGTGGGGGGAGGCCTGGGGAGGGTGGCAGGCCTGGCTGGCCGCTGCTGGTGCTGTGCTGCCCAGAATCAAGGTAGGCTGCCATGGGGGGGGGGGCAGGCCTGGCTGGCTGGCTGGACACATACTAGCCATCCCAGGAAGGCCTCTGGTGACATCAGGGTTGGCGGCAAAGCTCCTGATTTCACCAAATCCCTCTTTCTTACCGTGGTAAGGGGACGGGCTGTGGTGCAAAACGTCAGTGGCTGTTGCGCTGCCGCCTGCACTGCTTATTTGGAGCTGGTTTGGAAAGGGAAAAAACGCAGCCGAATTAGGTGGGACACGCCCCACCAGATCCCTCCAAACGGGTCTCCCTATGGTAGCCTCCCCACTGAAAAGTGCTTCCTGCTTTTCCTCTATCTGCATGCTGTTACAGGCTCTGCACCCAGGTAGTGGCCGGTGGCCCTGGGTAGTGGCGTCTTGTTAGTCTTGGAGGGCGCAACAGCATGCAGGTAGAGAAGCGGGAAGTGCTTTTCACATCCCCAGTTCATTCGCTGCAAGAAAGAACGGGCTCCGTTTGGGTGGGGTCCTTTTGGGTCACGTAGTTCAGCGGGGAGGCTACCGAAGGGAGACCTGTTTGGAGGGATCTGGGTGGGGCATGTCCCACCTAATTCGGCTGCGTTTTTTCCCTTTCCAAACCAGCTCCAAGCAAGCGGTGCAGGCGGCAGCGGAAAAGCTTTTGAAGTTTGTGCACCGCAGCCCGTCCCCTTACAACGGTAAGAGGCATTTGGAGAAATTGGGAGCTTTGCTACAGACCCCGATGTCACCAGAGGCCTTCCCAGGATGGCTAGTATGCAGCCAGCTAGGCCTGCCGCCCCCCTGCCGAGGATCCAGGTGGGCTGCCATGTGTGGGGGAGTTGTTGCCACCGTCGTTGCCGCTGCCACCGTCATTGCCGCCACTGTCGTTCCTCCAGGAAAGCCAGGGCCAGTATCAGTAAGAGTTGGAAGGGACCTTGGAGGTCATCTAGCAACCCCCTTCTCACGCAGGAGGACTATACTAGGGATTCGAGCCACCTTTTAATTCTAGACACCTGCAGCCCATTCCTGCCTCCTCAGGTGTTGGAGCGTGTGCTTTTCAAGGAGTCACAAAGGGGGCTGAGAGCAGAGTCATTCTGACAAGTGTCTTTTAAAATTGCTTGGAAGAGCAATTTCCCCCCCTAACAATAATGGTTTGTATACTGTGGAATAAAACATATGCTTGGAAAAAGTACTTGCAAAACTTGGACAGAAGGAAAAGAAAGGCAGGACTGGACTCATTATCAGTAGCTTGTAGTTCATTGTTATCAGTGACTACTGATTCTAAACTCATTTTAAGACTGGGATTAGTGACTACTGAAATTTAAATATTCAACACTGGTCTCAGAAATCTTTGAGAACCTGCAGAGGTTAAGACATTAGGTGGCCATCAGTCATTACCTTAGTGATGAACTCAAAGAGATCAGGCATGACATTGCTTATTTATCAGAACTGTTTGCAAAGTTCAATGAAGTGAATTTGCAGTTGCAAGGAAATGAGATCAATCTTATTAAGGCCAAATTTGTCATCTCTACGTTTATTTCAAAGTTAACTCTATTCAAGCGCAATATAGGCCGTCGCGAGCTATACCAATTTCCAAGCTTGTCCGAGCTAGAAGAGAAAGGTAGGATATAAGATGATGATCTGCAAGGTTTTTGTGACCATTTGGACATGCTGCATAAAGATATGTCTGAGCGATATCAGGGTCTTCTTTTGATGGAAATTCCAGATGGGTGATAAATCCATTTTCAAATACTGAGGAAGATGGGGTAGTGGAGGAACAACTAATAGAGCTGTAAAATGACATTGAGCTGAAGCCAAAGTTTAAGAAATCGTACCAAGAGTTTTGGTTACAGAAGGAAATTTCTGATTGCTATCCTGCACTATGGACAGTGGTTAAAAAGCTCCTTGTTGCATTTGCAACATCATATTTGGTGGAACATGGTTTCAGTGTGATCACCCAACTTCTCTCCAAGCAAAGTAATCAACTCCAGATTACTGAATGTGGTGATTTAAGACTCCTGCTAAGTGACTTAAAACCAGACATTGGGAAACTGGTATCATTTCATCAAGCCCATCCATCACATTAAGAATTTACTGAACAGTAAAGTAGTTACTAAATTTTACTGAGTTTACTAAGTTAGTAGTTACTAAGGTTCTTGATAAATGACTATCAGACTTTGAAAACCTGGTATCACTGGATCGTGTTCAACAATTTTGTTGAATTAATAAAAGATTTTTAAATTGGATTTTGAATAAATGTGCAATTAATTGTTACAGTTTTGAATTTTACTGTTACTATCTTCCTTAGTGGGTCGTGCAAACCCCTATTCCGAACAATGCTATTTATAGGGCTGGGGGTGGGGGGCACTGAGGATGAATTTGTAGCACCAAGGGGGTGGTGGACTGAAAAAGTTTGGGAACCACTGCATTAAATATATAACAAAGTTTAATGTTTCAAGATAAATTTTGCATCTTTTAACAGCTATTTAAATTTGATATGAAACTTGCTAACAACTACAAGTATGTAAAAACTGGTTATGAAATACTGCCCTTACAAAGAAAATGAAGAATACTCTTGTATTCCATCATTTCAGGGCCATTGTAAGAAAAGAATTGTTATACAAAATATTCTAAACTTTGATTAGAATAACATTCTGTTGGTGTGAACTGTCCATTGATATACAGTGTCTCTGAAACACAAAGTACTTGGAGTGTTAATCATTCCATTCATTCTTCCTATTTCTGATATATAGATAATTCAGCCACAATGGTATGTCGATTCATGAGCAACTATGAGTTAGCCACAGTTTTTTGGACTTAGCTAACTGACACTTGCTCTTTAAATATTTAGGTAAAAAATGAAACAGGTTTAGCATCTGTTCAGCATTCTGTAACTGCTCATTTCCAAGCTTGGCCAAAAGTAGCAAACATGCAAATGCAAAACAAAACAATCTGATTAATACATGACTAAAAATATGGTTACATTTATTTGCAAATTTAAATTAAGCTAGCAACGCTGAAAAATATAGTACACAATTTAATTGTATAATAGAAGCTACACCGGAAAAGACAGAGTGTAAAATTAAAATAACCAGCTTGAACATCAGTGATAAACATTGAAAGATACTGCAGAGTAATTTCCACTAGGCTAGAAGGTCATTAGTTGAGAAAAACAACAGTCCTGCTCATTTGCCTTAATATATTGATGTAATTAGCAAGAAAGCAGGTTTCACAATGTATGAAAAGCGTAAGGTAATCAAGTTGGGAAATTACTTTTCCTAAATCCTCCACAGCGGCTGCTATTTAACTTGAGTTTGAACTGAATTAACCCAATGTACTTGGATCTTTTAATAGCTTTTTCAATTCCTATATCGGCAGTTGGGTATTAAAGTTGCAATGTAAGGGTATTCAACAGTATATAGGTAGTCCTCAATTTACAAGCATTCGTTTAGTGACTTTCAAAGCTGCAATAGCACTGAAAAAAGTGACTTACAACCGGGCCCCACACTTAAAATGGTTGCAGCATACCCAGTCATATGATCAAAATTTGGGCACTTGGCAACTGGCATGCATTTACCATGGTTGCAGCATCCCAAGTCATGTGATTGCCACTTGCACGCGACCTTCCCAGTCAACTTTCAACATACCAAAGTCAATGGGGGGGGGAGAGATCTGGATTCACTTAATGGCTGTGATTCCCTTAACAGCTGCAGTGATTTGCTTAACCAAAAACAAGGCTGTAAAATAGGGTATGACTCACTTAACAATTGCCCTGCTTGGCAGTGGAAATTCTGATCCCAATTGTGTTGCAAGTCAAGAACCACCTGTATCTAATTCGGAAGAACCTACTGTATGCAAAAGCAAAGAGTTTATCTGGATTCTTGAAGCTAATTTTAAAAAGTCTAAATTTTGAATCAAGTGGTGTGTTTTCTGCACCCTAAATAATTTCTGGCAGAGAAACCTCCAACTCCCTCTCTCATCTATGCGCTTGTACACTCACACACATACATACACCCTTTTAACAACAATTATTTGCTTCAACTTGTTGTCAGGGCAACTGTCAAGTTTGGAAACCATGCATGTTTTTGTTTCAGAGGCAACAGACTTTTGCTATGAAATGCTGTCTCTGTGCTGCAAATAACATCCCATGGAGAATCCAAAGGGGTAAAATTGAAACCCACAGCAACCGCACAATTGCAGCTGTTTCCTATATCTGACTTTTTTTTTTAAAAAAAATTAAAATTAAATTTATATGCTACCCATCTCCCTGAGTAGGGCAACTCTGGATGGTGTATAGAACATAAAAAGATAAATAGAAAAGCAATTAAAGATTTAAAACTCTGCAAAAAACTGGAACCAAGGAGGTGGATGACATGGGGCTGAGGTCTTCTTACCAGGTCAACCACCTCCAGCGGAAGCACCCCCAGTTGGGGCCCCAGGCCAACCAGTAAAACCAAGTTTTAATGCCCTTCTGGAAGGCCAAAAGGCCGGGAGTAGTTTTCACCTTCAGTGGTAGAGTACAGGTAGTTCTCAATTTACAAGCACAATTGAGCCCAAAATTTATGTTAAGTGAGACATTTGTTAAGTGAGTTTTGCCCCATTTTACGACCTTTCTTGCCATGGTTGTTAAGTGAATCACTGCAGTTGATTAGTTAGTTACCCGGTTACGTGAATCTGGCTTCCCCATCGATTTTACTTGTCAGAGGGTCGCAGGGCCTGGTGGTTCAGCAGACTGATAGCATTGTGATTAACACCAGCTGTCTGCAATTACTGTAAGTTCGAATCTCACCAGGCACAAGGTTGACTCAGCCTTCCATCCTTTCTAAGGTAGGTAAATTGAGGACCCAGTTTGTGGGGGCAATAAGCTGACTTTGTATAAATATACAAAAGTATGAAGGCTATTGCTTAACGCATTGTAAGCCGCCCTGAGTCTCCGAAGAAGGGAGGCATATAAATCAATTTTTTTTTTAAAAAAGGGGGGGGATCGCATGACCTTGGGACGCAGCAATGGTCGTAAATATGAACCAGATGCCAAGCATCTGAATTTTGATCACATGATCATGGAGATGTTGCAAAGGTTGTAACTGTGAAAAACGGTCATGTCACTACAACAGTGCTGTTGTAACTTTGAATGGTCACTAAATGAATTGTTGTAAGTTGAGGACTACCTGTATTCCACAGGATCGGGATCACAGAGGAAAAAAGCTCTTCTTTAGCCCACCTGCTCAAATTCCTTAGCAGATGGAGTCTGTAGCAGGCCTCTTCCGCTGGCACAAGTGGGGTGGGCTAGTCACACTGGGCTGAGACAGCTTCTCAGATACCCTGGATCCATGCCATATAAGGCTTTGGTAATAACCCAACACCATGAACTGGACCTGGAAGCAAACAGGTAACAAATGCAGCTTGCCCAAATAGCAGTGTTATACATGCCACCCTACAGGCCCTCAGAACTATTTGTGTCGCTGCCTTCTGCATCGGCTGTAGCATCTAAATACTCCTCAAAGTTAGCCCCATGTAGAGAGCACTGTAGTCATCCAACTGAGAGATGACTAGGGCATGACTGACTGTGGCCTCATGATCCAAATAAAGGGGCAACTGGCGTCCAACTCAACGTTGTGTAGAGGCTCTCCTAGACACGTCTGTCACCTGCTGTTCGAGCACGAGTTGCAATTCCAGGAGAACTTCCAGGTTGCACACCAGGTCTGTCTGGAGTAGTATAACCACATACAGAACTAAAGATGATAAATAACCAGATCCTGAGGTCCCCCTGCCTTCATAGCCACTCCGTCTTGATAGGATTCAGTGAAGTCTGTTGTCCCCCATCCAGGTCCCTACGGTCTCCAGGCACTAAGGACAGCTACAGCATCACTTGGAGCACCAGGGACATAAGGTACCGTAAGTAGAGCTTTTCTTCCTTGCTAAGTAATAAGATAAATGCAGATAATACTATGAAATTAAACGGCAGAGGTGACAGAAAACCTTTGTATAGGGCAAAACTGGCTAACAAAAATCACTGCTACAAATTGTGACTAGAGTTACAAAAATGAAGACTTATAAAAAGAGACTGGCGATTCTTGCTGATTTGCCTTACAAAACTACAAAATTCAGAGATAATCTGCTATCAGCCACAATGGAGAAAATGGTGCTGGACTAGACAGTCTTTTTCATGTCACCTAAAGTTTTTTTTTTCTATTTTAATACTTGTTACTTTCAGAAGAGCTTTCAGAATATTTGGCAAATTCTCCTGATCTTCTATGGCTATGCCTGTATTCTTAAGAGGCAGTTTATAGCATTATAGCACACTGCTATTTAGCTTAGGTTAGGCGCTGCACACTCCAACAAACAGCCATTAACTTATATACAGTACTACAGTAAAACTCTTGTGTCTGTCTGATACTTTGTGGCCTTCAATTGGGCAAAATGGTGCATCATAGAGCAACAATTTTTGAATCAAAGTACTTTAAATGGACCAATTTACAGAATGCGTCCAAAATCTGGGATCTATGACCCCCATGGGAGTTTGACAACGATTTAGTGCCATACTTTCCTGACTGTACTTTCCAGGAAGCTATGGGTTGCATGGCACAAGGGAAGATGGGAGGGACACATACTTACCCTATTTCCAGCCTCCCTCTGGCCCCTACGCCCAATTGGCTGGTAGCAAGACCTGAGAGACAAGTGACCACTGGCAGCTTTGAAACCATGGTCAAAATTTTAAACCTCTTAATGGCAGTGGCTAGTAAGGGAAGAATGAGGGAGTAAGTTGGATGCCTGCTGGTAAGGTAGGGTTGGTTGAAGTGAGCCTTCTTCCTCCCTGGAGAGAGGGATCCCTTGGGGACATGCCAGAATGAGAAGGAGGGTGCAGTTTTCCTTGTGGTCCATGACTCCCATAGTTCTCCCTCTCCACAATGAAGTGGCAGGCAGTTCCACATGTCAGCTGAGGGCAGGAGGAGGGGTTCTTTTGAGGGTTGTGAACGGAAGGGAAAGGTGCAAGGCTATATTATATTTGGAAACAGAAAAGACAAAGAAGAGACTGGGATGCCTGGGTAGGACTGGCTCTGGTGTGCCAGTGATAGCTGAGCCCTTGAGCCCCCTTCCTCTCTTTGTTCTCTCTCCCTCTAGCAAAGTGACAGGTTCATGAATCAGCTGAGGAAGAGGAGGGAGGGGTTTCACCAGGGCTCTCAAATGTCACAAGGGGTGGGGAAACAATGAGGGTCTATATTACATACTGAAAGAAGAATGACCTCATCAGTCATGGGTTGTCTAGTTGTTTCAAAAACAAAACAAAACAAAATTCTCCCGACCCTCTCCCAAGTGACCTTAGCTGCAGTTTTTCTGGATATCCTGGAAAAGCAACTGCTGCTGAAGACTTTTTAGACTACTTAAGACATCTGCAGTGAGATGCTCAGCAGACCAATATCCTTCCTGTTCTTGGTTCTCTTCTTCCTCTGGTTCAACAGTGCTATTAGAAGGGAAAGAAGAACATCTGGAGATATAACCCTGATCTGACTGTACCGACTGTCTCTGAACTTTGGAAGCCTCATCAAACAACAGCTGTTGCTGCTCATTAACATCTTCTTGGCAAAGGGGCATATCAGAGGGGATGACACTTTGTTGATAGAGGGAATACATCAATCCCTCCAGTTGTTGCCTCACGTCAGCTGGCAAGGCCTGGGGATCTGAGGATAAATGCTCTTGAAGAATGACATGATTTCTTCTTGGGATGCTAGCTTCTATCATAGGTATGCTTTCTAGCCAATCTTCATTGGTCAACAGTTTATGACTGAGTATCTCATTTTCTTCTGCAAGGGCAGTTGGCTTGACCACCTGAACAGAAGGTGTCTCAGCGGGAGTGACCAGAGTGTGGAATGCTAGATCTTCTTGTGACAGATGCTGAGGTGCCAATTTATATGCTCCCAAGTCATCTTCATTAACCAGAAGATTGACTAAGCAACAGCTATTGGAGCCAGGTTCCTTTGGAAGCAGCTGCTGCTTAAGAATTCCTTTTCCAGGGAATACTAATTCTTCAATGAGTTCCCCACTCAGAGGTTGTAGATCATCTTCATCTTCATCCTCAGCGCAGACACATTCAGTTTTAAACCAATCTGGATGCTCAGCCTGCCATGTCTGGAATTTCTGCAAAGCTTCCTTCAGCTGTTTGCCACAGGGGCTTTCAGTGTACTTTTCAGGCGAGATGGCTGGAATCTGATGCATTCGCCCTGGCTCAAATTTTTCAAGATCCTGGATTAGGAAGTAAATTTCCTCAAATTTATCCATCAGCTGATATTTGGAGATGACGTGGAAAGGGTCTGGAATGTCACTCTCATTGCTTATGCCCTCAAAGTAACAGATTAAATACAGTCCAAAGCAAGCTGGCTGCTTAAAATCTGGTAAAATCAGATTCAGTGCTGGAGTGAACATGTCTCCTGTTGGCAGCAGATTATCTTGCTTCAGATGCACACTGGATTCCTCGTGCCCAAGCATAGCCTGCCACTTAGCTTGAGTACCCCGGGAACACAAGATGATGATCTTTGAAGACAGCGCTTCCATTTTCTGTTTCTGCCGAGTAAGCCAGCACACTGCTCCCATCTCAGATATCTGGTGTTCATCTAGCAGGTCTAGGATGACCTCCGTACCACACACGGTGATCATGAACTGAGCAAATTTCAACACAATGTCTACATAGAGCTTGTGATCAGCAGAATACACAATCCAAACTGTACGTGGCTTGAGGGGTGGAGGAGGTTGTAACATAGGGGTGACATCTGGAAAGTCAAAAAGTTAAATATATAAAAAGTGTAATGTTATGGTTATTGCCCCCCGCCCAATACATGGAAAACAAAAGAGTACAAGAAATAGGATTGTTTCATGTATACATTACTGCACTTAATGTTAAAACAATGTTCAAGATCACTAGCTTCAGTTTAGCCAACTGAATTTTATCTCCAGTACCAGTGATATAGATGGAAGATATTTTATTTCAGAAAATTGCAATCCTTGATGTAGAAATTTATTTCTCCCGGAAAAGAAGTTGTGTCAGAAAGTAGTAGTCCTTGACATTAATATAAACACTGCCCAGCCGATATTCAGCCACAGAAATAAATGAACAGTTAATAACTCTGTAAGAATTGACTTTGTCTGTGTTTGTGTTCATGTGACCAAAAGCACACACGAAACTTTTAAGAAAATAAAAAGTCAATGCTGTCCCCTCTAAGAGCTGAATCTAATCCAGGTACCTAGATTATAAATCAATGCTGAGTAATAAAAAAATAAAAGTTCTCTTACCTTGGAGTTCAAAATCACCGTTTTTTGCTGCAGAATTTAATTCTAGGAGGGATAGAAGAACATAGACAATTTAAAAGAACATAATTTTGATCAAAAAAAGTTCAGATACTTTTGAAAAAGAAGGGCTAACAATTCAATGGCCTTCATCTGAGACTCAAGTGCAAGCAAAAAAAAAGCAGAATCTTGAATAAGAATTTAAGCTTTCCTTGACAGAACTGGAGGAAACGTAAATGAAATGCTGAAAAAATGGTGTCAGGTTGACCATGAAATTAAGATGATTGGCTATAATTAACAATGGGTAGGATAAAACATTCCAACTGAATCACTTTATATCAATAGGCTATCTAAATTTCTCCAAAAGGGCTGAAATTGAGCTTGAATTTAAGGCAACACAGGTGTAACAGAGCTGCTAATTTTTTCTTTCCTCTTCTTCCTTGGCAGTTTTCCCAGTCTCTATCCCAGAAGTCTTCAAACTTGGCAGCTTTAAGACTTGTGGACTTCAACTCCCAGAATTCTCCAGCCAGCATAGCTGGCAATAAACATATCCACAAGTCTTAAAGCTGCCAAGTTTGAAGACCTCTGTTAACAGGAGGAGACAAAGGGCAAAGAAAGGTATACCTGAAAATTAAGCAGAAAATTAAAACTCTGACCTGATTTTTTTCAGAGGTTAGCCTCTTCCCAGCCTGCAGTGCTCGACAAGATTCAGCTTGTCTGCCAAACCGTGAAGGTTTTTTTGGGGAGGGTGAGAAATTTAATGTCTGCTGCCCCTCTGCACAAATTTGGTCCAACTCTACACCATTCCAAGAAAGTTATTCTGAAGACAAAACACCATTAAGTCCCATTTGTAGAATCCACCTTACCTTTTTGTCTTCGAGTAAGGCAGATTGCGGAACCAATAGCTGAACCAATTAACAAAATGCAGATCATGGTGTGGATCCAAGGTAGGCCCACTGAAAATGTATCTGAAAAATAATCATCATAATAAATGATAGGTAGAATCATCAAAGCAGGTAATGCTGTGAAGAACGTCTTGATGTGTAGGAAAGGCCCCATTTTTAACAGTAATGGACCAGGAAATAGTAGAATAATTTATTTCATTGGTTCTGCACAGAAGCTATTGTGATATTTAATATTTCAAATTCCAATCTTCAGCTTAGTGCATTCTCAATGTGATATAACAGAGGGCACATGTAAGTGTGGTCAGGCATCACACAACCTGTTACTGTATCCACCAAAACATTAACTTTCAAAAGAAAGTTCCTTTTGATAGGGCTAAAGTAGGGCAAGTTTATGCAAACAAATTTTTCTTGATTCTGCTCAGGGCACTCAACCCTAAGTCCACATTTTCTAGTACAAAAGCAACAACAGAATCATGTTTACTCTTTCTAGGAGAAAGTGCAATCTGTACCCCACTATCCTCATAGGGATTTTTCTAAAGGTAAATGTTTTAGGAAAAAAGGGGAGGGGATTTGCTAAATCATCCAGATATTATATTTCCTTCATGCTCTGAAGTTTAGATATATTTCCATACATGAATTAGGGGAGGATCTCCAGTTCTTAAACTCCTAATCTGTACAAAAATCGACTCTTTTCGAACTACATCAGATCACTTTAAGAGTATATATATGCACCATTCATTCTGGATTGATCAGGAAGACTTAAGGTATCAGCAGAAGAACATGGGATTAAAAATGAATGCCTCTCACAGTCTGTAGCACAGCCAGGAAAGAAGGGTTGGATCTGGTGAAAAAAGAAGAGAGAGGATAATTACAGCAACTACTTCAATGCACTATCAGCCACCAGACTTAAAAAGTAAAAACAAAACCTTATGTAGGACTACTTTCTCTTGGCTACATTATATAAATAAAATGTAATATACATTATTAGACAATACAATGTACAATGATAAATATAATGTAATTATATTATTATACAGTATAATGTACTATATTATAATATTCTATTAATATAGTATATTAATATATTGTATAACAATATAAGTAAACTTTTACTTTTTTATTTTTTGTCCCATCAAGTCAGTTTTGAATGCTGGTGATTGCTTGGGACGGGTCTCTGCAGTTTTCTTGGCAAGATTTTGATAGTAGTCTGCCAATGCCTACTTTTTTCTAGGACTCAGGGAGAGGGACTGGCCAAGGTCACCCAGCTGGCTTTGTGCCCAAGGCAGAACTAGAACTCACAGTCTCCTGATTTCTATCCTGGTGCCTTAACTGCTACATCAAATACGTTCTCAATATCAATAATACAGTATTTATTATTATTATTACTATTATTATTGATGGTTTCTGAATACAAACTGATAAAGATAACACACCAAATATAATGGTAGTTGAAAAAAAATGTGGATAATTGATGTGACAATATCAGGGAATTGTAGAACAGAAAGAACTGGAGAAGATCACAAATATCAAGGTCTGAAAAACTGAAATTGAAGGATTATGGTATGAAGTGGCTGTGGTTGTCGCAGAGGTTATTGGCACAACGGATGGCATGCCAAAAAAATCTTAAGATAGCACTTAGAAAATCTGTACACTGACAAAACTTTGATTTGTCAATTACAAAAGGCCATCCTGCTTGGATCTGTACATCTACTATGCTGATACATTATGATTATCCTAGGTTCTTGGAAAAGATTTGAGCCTTATGAAAGCCAAGCATAACCTGAAGAACTGGCAAATGTAACTGTAAAAATTCCCAGACTAGTCCTCAGTCCTCACTGAGGTCCAATCCTACTTAGCATCTGGATGCAGACAAAGTCCCGTAGAGTTAATGCTAGATTAACATCTGTCAGTCTGATTTTAATTAAAAAAAAGTAAAAAAAAATCATTAAAATTGAGTGGGACAGTGATCTGGCAGATGCCAGGAGAAACATCCACAGGCACACTGATGTTCATGAGCTCTATATTGCTACTCCTAGCTAAGAATCAAGCAGATGTTGTCTGAAGCAAAGAGGAGCATGCAGCTGATTTCCCCTTAATTCAGTTCTGAAATGAAAGGACTCTTTCTCCTTTTGATGTTTCTTCTCCAGTTTTTAGCACTTCAAAGGAACATTTCTTACTTTAAAAGACTACAGATGCCTAAAGAGCTAAAATGAGGGAGATCTTTAAAATAAGTGAACCAACACTGTCATCTCTGTTGCCGCTTGTTAACTCAGGATTCTATCCAGTGGTGAAATCCAATTTTTTTTCTACCGGTTCTGTGGGCGTGGCTTGGTGGGCATGGTGTAGCTTGGTGGGCGTGGCTTGATGGGCCAGGCAGGGGAAGGATACTACAAAATCTCCATTCCCACTCCATTCTGGGGCCAGCCAGAGGTGGTATTTGCCGGTTCTCCGAACTACTCAAAATTTCTGCTACCGGTTCTCCAGAACCTGTCAGAACCTGCTGGATTTCACCCGATTCTATCGACTAAGTCACAAGCACCCATATCCTGACGTTTTAGCAGGTGGATTAAAAAGCTAAACAGTGCAGGGCCTACTCAGTATTTGGAAGGGAGGTTATTAAGAAATCCCAACACTGGAGATAAAATTGGGTACTCAAAAAAAAAAAAAAAAAAAAAAAAAAAAAAAAAAAAACACACACACACACACAGAAGAAAGCAAACCAGTTTTTATTTTACTGTTGTTTCAATGGATGTGTCTATTTGATCACCAGGGAACTGAGCTTGTCTTCTGGAGAACATCCTTATCTCTACTTTTCTTCCCTAACCACCACTTTGACTTAGGAGCACAACTGAGCATAAAATTTCTGTTGTTAAGCAACATGGTTGCTAAGTGAGTTTTTGTCCCATTTTACGATCTTTTGTGCCATAGGGCTCCTGGACAGTGCAACCATCATAAATACATACCAGTTGCCAAGCACCCAAATTGTGATCACGTGACCATGCAGATGCTGCAACGGTCGTAAATGTGAAAAATGGTCATTAAGTCACTTTTTCCAACTTCGAATGGTCACTGAACAAATGTCTGTAAATCACCTGTAACTGAATGTGACTATTAACATGGAAAGAAATTATTCTTTTGTCAGAAGCCAATAAAGCTAAACCTACCTCCACTTTGTATTTGCAGCAAATCTTCAAGTTCCTTTCCAGCTTGACCGTTACATTAAGGCGCTGCTGCAGACCCTTCTGCAGAAATCAAGAGGCACAGTTGAGACAGGACCAGCAACAGCATTGTGATCAATCTAAATATATTGTATCTTTGGGGTAAATAAGCGGGCTCAAAAATAGAAATCAAGGAGCCAATTGCGTGTTATCATAAAGCACTGAATGGATTCAGGACAGTTCCTGCAGGGATGCGAGGGGCAGCTGTTGCAGTTGTGATGCACTGGTGCATTTTTCAATAGCTATGGTAACATGAAATCAAGTAGCATAGCATAATCTGGAGTGGTTGATCACATACAACCATGCAGCTACTTGATTACCATTCTGCTGCTTCTTTCACATGACTAGGAAGAAAAGGCAAGAAATTGCAGTTTCTTCTATTCAATTATTCTGAAGTGGTTTCTACTTTTCCAATAAACAGCAACACAATTTCCTTGTTTGCTTGGAAGCAGTTCTGGTTTAAGGGCATATTAAGAAAGCAGATTTTTGCCCAGCCCACCTTTCAAACCACTTTTTTTTTTGCTTAAAAAAAAAATCCCTTAAAGGAAATAAAAGTAGTATAAAATTCTAGATTCTGACATGGTAGAAATGCAAAAGCTGTCTCAATCTTGTAAATAAGCAGGTGACTAACTCTCATAATTTGCAATTTATGTAGAATTCACATTTTGTGGTAAACCATGTTTTTTAAAAAGGCTCAAATTCCACACATGCTAGCTGTTGGGCTTTTGTTACTGGGAAGACAAGGGTTCTGATGGGTTGGTAAGTAATGGTAATGAGGAATTGCTAAAATACAAAAGTATGAAGGCTATTGCTTAATGCATTGTAAGCTGCCCTGAGTCTCTGGAGAAGGGCGGCATATAACTCGAACCAATAAATAAATAAAATAAATAAATAAAATAAATAAAATAAATAAATAAATAAAAATTAAAATAAATTAAAATAAAATATAAAATAAAATAATAAAATAAAATAAAATAAAATAATAAAATAAAATAAAATAAAATAAAATAAAATAAAATAATAAAATAAAATAAAATAAAATAAAATAAAATAAAATAAAATAAAATAAAATGCCTGGAGGAGAAAACAGATTGGAGCAAAACTGATTACCTCTGAAATACTTTCCGTGGCCTTCTTGCACTCCTTTCCATCTTCCCGAACACTGATTACGTGGATAAAATAGGTGGTTGGTATCTCTGCAGGGTCAAAGCTCACCAACACAGAATCGTCATCTAGACTTGTTCCACTAATTCTGGATTCCCACAAACTCCCTAAATGCAGAAAACTCATCAATGACATCAAATGGCACTGCTCATGGATGCACCCAAACACCTGAAAAAAGCATACCTATTCGCAGACACGGTTCTGTTGTTTTCATGATAGGATGTGTGCAATCTGCAATGGAAAAAAAAAATCCAGAAAGATTGCATCTGTGTGCTGAAAGACAATACTGGCTAAACTGACTACTTCAATTTGCAAGTAGTTTAAAAAGAATCATGTTCAAATGTACATAAGCCAACTATGAAAAGATTATTGGGCTAAAACTATTACTTTACATCGTTGGGAAAAAATGCATTAAAGTTACAGAAGATGTAATGCAATTTTGAAAGAAAGCACATTTCAGATAGCTTCAAGAAGTTCATTCCACAGACTCGCATTGCATCATCCAGCAACTTCCACAAACCTCCACCAATGTAGTAGAGGCTTTTTTATCCCTGCTTGGCATCCCGGGTCCCAGCCCCATTGTGGATTCAGATAAGCCAGGCTTAGTGCAGCTGGAGGAAGTTTAAGAGCTATGGATGTGCAGAGACAAAATGGCAGTGGTGACAATACCACTCTTGCCTCTACTCCATCCCTTCATAGGTTTCCTAGGTGAGTGGCTTTAAACCACTCTAAACACTTTAAAGTGGCTTTAAACCACTTTAAACATGGAGGTGTTCTGAAAGAAGATGCAGGTTTCTTTTATCTGGTTCCACTCTGCTCAGAACTAGTTCGTTCTCCACTCCCCTGCTTTGATTTTTTTTTTTTTTGGAGGAGCAGCATTTTCCTCACTGTGTTTCCTTTAAGCACTGCAGACAGCAACTTTGAATGTGCAACTTTCATACTATGTAGGCTTTGTTTATCAGTTAAGTCTTCTTCATATCCTGGAAGTGCAGGATATCCTAGTGCCAATTGGGGCAACTAAGGATTCTTCATTTACATATCTTTCGATTCCATTTTTTAAAATTCTGTCTTTCAGATGAGCCTCAGATTGCCTGTATCCCCCCCCACAAGCAGATAGATGCCAAGCACCTAAATTTTGATCATGTGACCACAGGGGTGCTGCAATGGCTGTAACTAGGTGGTCTGGATGTAAGGACCATTATGTCAGTGCTGCTGTAACTTTGAACAGTTGCTGAACTGAACTGGTTATTAACTGAGGACCTGTATAGACATGAGGCCCCTATAACGGTTACTCATTGCTTACCACCTCCCAGATCAAGTCCTGCAATGTACTGCAGTATATAGAGCTGTCTTTAAAGACTATACAGTTGGACAGAATGCAGTGATCTGCTTCTTAGCATGTTGGCCATATAACACTGGCTTCTGTTAAGCTTCCTGGTAATATTCAAAGTGCTGTTTTATATAAAAAACCCATTATGGCTTAAAAACCAGATGTTTGCATGAATGCCACCTTCAGGTAGAATCAAGCTATCTGGTGCTTTCATCCTCAGATAGGTGTTGAGAGCCATGCCCATCAAGTTGGGAATTTATGTCCATACATTTTAAAGTAGCCAAAGTTGGAAAGCACTGAACTAGAAGTTGGATTGTCAGTAAAAAAATCTGTAAATAAATATATTTGTATATATCATAAAAATGTCCTTTACTTACTTGGTACTGTGAATGGCTTTGATCTCCTGTTATAGTCCCCTGGAGTACTTAATTTGGGCAAATGATAGACTGTTACTTGGTACATTTGGCCTGGTTGTACCTCAAAACGATTGAAAGAGAAATTCCACTGAAACAATAAAAGGAGAAATATTTTTAAAAACATACAGTGAGTCAATGCAGTGACTTATAACACTGACCTTGTATGAAATTCTGTACTAGGAGAAAGAAAAGAAAATTCACAAGCCAGATCTATACGAGCACTTAGGCAGAGTAATTAATTTTCTTTAGATTTCGTTATCTGGATTCGAATGATCCCTGTTTCATCACAAGCATTTTCCCTGATTTGGGGAAAGAAAAGTAATGAATTGTTTCTCCATATCCTCATAGAAATTCATTCCTTTCACCAAATGTGGAAACATAACATATTCTAACACAGGTACTTTTTCTTCTGATTTCCTATAATGAAAGGGAAAGGAGGATTCTCTTCACAATGCAGAATCTTGTAAACATGAATTCATATTATTTTATGTACAAGGTACCTAACAGAGCTCTATCATAAACAAACGTTAGCTTTTAAAGATGGTCTAAGACAGTGGTCCCCAACCTTTCTGGCTTGGCAGCCCAGCGGGTGGGAGGAGAGGGGAAGGTTCCATGTGAGTGGTAGGTGCCTGCACATGCCTGCCGCTTGCGCAAATGGAGCTGTGAGTGTGAACACCCGCCACTCATGCAAGTGGAGCTGTGTGCCCACACGCACTCACCTGCCACTTGCACGGCCTAGTTGCAAATGAGACGCAGCCCAGTAGTGAGCTGCGACCTTGGAGTTGGGGACCCCGGTCTAGGAAGTAAATTCAGACATCACACTCTCTTTCCCCTATTTCTGATAAAACACAATGAACAGTGACAAAACTGTGATGTTAAACAATGGATTAAAAAATTTATAGGCTGGCAACAGGAGTCATTGGAGAGAAAAGCATTCTGGGGTAATCAATTATATTTGCTTCCCGTGAATGTTTTTTGGTTCGTGACCTCTTATTCCAGGACATCCAGAAATATTTAGTCAATGCTGTTAAAAGAGAAGTTGCAGCACTGTGTTCTAATACCTCCTTAAGTTGAGGAATGTAACATAGTTGGTGCTTTTACATCAAGCAGAAATGGAAGTAACAATAACCAAATGTATAAATTTAACTGTTTCCCTGCTTGAAGCCCGGCCTTTTCTCATCCCTTCTCCTGGAATAAGTCATATTTATTTTTTCTGCACTGCAGCATAAAGTTATTCATATATTTATTCCAACACTAGCATTTTACACATAGTAGAGGCCATACCAAGTCATCTATGCTTGCTGTATGTAACAGACAATGTTCTTAATTACAAAGCTTTTCTTAAGCACCATGTTATTCTTTGGCTAGCAAATGTTATACTTTCTTTAGTCAATATACTGTTATTTATTTACTTAACTAAATGCACCAGGCATTAATGTAACTCCATTACAATTCTATTGGATTCTAAGAAGGCAAAGTATAAATTTGTAAAACTTTCACGATCGCTTACCCGGCCTCCATTGTCTGGACGGACTTGGAATGTCAGGTTATTTTGAAAGTCAAATTGAGCGCAAATCTGGCGGTTATCGCTTAATTGTACTACAGCCAATTCCGCTCCTCTGAGGTATATGATGCTTGCTAGAGAATGAGAGACATAAAAACATTGGTAGAGATCTCTCTTTGTATTCTTTGATTATGGTGCAAGCTAAATCATAACATGGTTTATAATTTAGAAGCAGCGTGCCAGGACAAACTTTTCAAAAAGTATTCCTCCCCCCCCCAACTGTGCAAAATTATGTTAGAGTGTTCAGTCCAGGAGATGGAGAATCATGGGTTAGAAAGACTGATATCACAATCAGCATTCAAACATTTTGATTTTATTCTATGAAAAGAAAACAATACATACTGACATGCTATACTGGCATTTTAATATTCATCCCCAAATTACTCTAAATTGTTTACATTTTTATTCTGAACTGTTGTTATTTGAAAGGAAAATTAACTCCTCCCCCAATAATTTACCTTTAAAATTGGAAAGTACCATGGATTCACCACAAACAAATGTGTTTCCCTGAAAATAAGACCGGGTCTTATATATTTGGGGAGGGGGGGCACCAAAATACCTATTAGGTCTTATTTTTTGGGATGTCTTATTTTGCGCCTGCCCGCCCACCTGCTTCCTCCCACCATTTGCTTGCCTGCGGCCACAACGACTTACAGGGCTTCCCAGGACAGTTTTTGCCGGATGGAGAAATGATGAAGAATGGAAGCTTCATCTGCTTGCAAATGGGGCATTTTGAAATGGAGCAATTAGCTCTATTTCAGAGTGCCCCATTTGCAAGCAGACTAAGTTTCATCTTGCTATGGGCGAAAAGTGGATGTCAGAGCCAGGGGCATGGTGGGGGGAGGCAGCCGATCCCACTCTGTCCCATCGTCTCTTGGCTTGCCCATGGACACGCCATGGCAGGCACCAGTGCAGGGCATCGGGATCACCTGCCTCTGCTGCTGCCTTCTGCTGGGCAAATCTCTCATGAGCCAGGCAGCTGCACAGCACGTCCAGATCACCTGTCTTCCCCCTGCCTCTTTCTCTGTGCTCAAACTTATCTGCACTGTGCCAAGGGGCTGGTGGGCTGCAGCTGCTGCTGGACACTATCGGCCCTTGCACGTTTGCCGCCTCTTGTGCTGGCCACGTCCATCCCCCCAGGCTTATTTTTGGGGTAAGGTTTATATTAGGCCCAGCCCAAAAAATCAGGCTAGGGCTTATTTTCGGGGAAACATGGTACATTTTTTTCCTGTTTTATAAGGAAATATCTTAAAATCAGGATTATTTTTCTTTTGAGTAACCGAATACATTTTAAAAAACATTACCAGTTCATATTATTACTATACTCCCAAACCAGCCTCTAAAACATGATGGAGATAGTTTTGGCTACTATAATTTGTCTAATAGATAATGCTACATTTTTTACATGCTGTAAACAATGCAATTCTGTATTGATTTCTTCCTCACTTACCATCAGTAGCCACTTTCCACTCTATCTTCAGCACAGGGACCAATTTCCCATCTTCAGCAAAAAATGTATCAATAAATACGTCAACAGAACTCGGGGCTGAAGGAGTCCATTTCCAAGAAAGGAGCCAGCTCTCATCCACACAGTAACCTACAAGTTTGATGGAAATTAATTCAGTCCCACGTTTGAGATAACAACTGACTTTCCTTTAGACTATAACATTCTAGCTATGGTGCCTCCTCGCAAACTTTCAGTGCAGCACAAGCTATCAAATACTATCTGCTGCATTACAACACTGTTTAGAAAAGCTAAGAGAAATAAAATTAAAGGGTGAACCAAAGTGAGTTTACACATTATTAGTGTCCATATTGAATAATCAATACTCCACATAAGTTTCTATGCTTCTTAGCAAAATGTGTCTTCTAATATTGACTAAACTTTTAACCTTCTACCAGGCTTCCCTAAATTATCTCCAGATTCTTATTTCTTAGAATTTCTAGCCAGTTCTGATAACTCTGAAAGATACTAGGTTGACAAAGCCTACTCTAAAAGATACAGATAAAAAATATTTAAGATGTAGCTGGATACATGCTATTTAGATTAAGAATTCCACAGTAGGGTATAAATATGGATCATTTAGAATATTGTTACATTTTATTCCAGACAAAAAGATACATTTTGGGTTAATTTTTGGGAAAACAAGCTTATTGTATATTTCTTGATTTAGAGAAAGCATATGATAAATAGAATAGGATTAAGTTATGGTACATTTTATGTGACTATGGAGTTGGCTCCATACAGTAAAAGTAATGTATGAGATAAATAAAGCATAAATGTAAATAAATAGAATGCCTAGTGAATGGTTAACATTAAGCAGGAAGTCACAGATGTGAGATATTCCCGTGTTTGTTTAATATATTTGTAGATGTATGTATAACAAACGCTTGTGGTGATATTAGAGGTGGTTGGGAATGTGAATGTATGTGTATTTTCATATGTAAATTATATTGATCCTGAACTCATTTGAACTAAACATGACAAATAGCTACCTCACACTAACATTCCTCCTACTGAAATATCAATCAATTATAAAATGTTGCACAGAACAGAGTTAGTATTACAGTTCTAAAATAAGCAAAATTAATTAAGGGGGAAAAAAAGTGCACCTACTGTTTCGCACAAGGCAGCGTAAACCCTACAGGAGAGAACATAAATATGTTATTAAAAAAAGTCTTAAGAGTAAAATGGATCATGAATGTTGCTTCACCTGAAAATGGTATTAAATTTTATCTGTAGTTTTTTTTACATATATTTTCAACTCAAAAAATCCCACCCCACCATTTAACAGATGCTAAACTTAACAGACACTTATTTATTTATTAGTCTACTAAGCTGGGTATTTATTAAATGAATTTTCACCTGCAATCATTTCAGCATATTTAAAAAGAATGTATTTCTTCTTTGTCATACATGTGATGATAAATGTATTCTAATTTAATATGAGAAACAAATGTAACAAGCTATGTTGCTGAATCATTATATACAAGGCAAGTATTATCGTGTTTATATGCAAATACTCCTATAAAAATAGGCAGAATAGTTAACATAGATCACAGAGATAAAAATGGTTGACATTTATTTTCCTGTTAATTCTATTTCTGTATGATTCAACGTTATATTGAAAGTATCTTTTTTTCCAAAAAGATTAGGGTAACAGCTTCCCCTTTTAAATTCTAATAGTTCAAATAAGTAGCAGAAAAGTAATCAGAATGCCTTATTGTAGGAACAAAGAATGACAAGCATAAGAAATATAGGTACTTTTAAAAGGAGTGGGGTTTTGATTGCTTGGTTGCAATCACCATTTTGATGTTGTTGATCCCCTCCCTTTATGGTGCCCAAATTCCTAGGGTAATTTTATGCAAAACACTAAAATCTTTAGCTTTTCTAGGAAATATTGAGAGTGGCTGAAATGATTATTTAGTCAATCTGTGCATAGCCCTCTAACCTTTAAAAAAAAAAAAAAACAAAGTTACCAGGACACCATATTTTAATATGTCAGTAAAATCCTATTTTGATCCTAGTTTATGTAGAGAATGTTTGCTTCCTTGCCAAAATTTCCCAATTGTCATTTCATGAAAAATTCTATACTGTAAAAATCATTCACAGATACATGGAGGGTCAACCTAAAATACCGCATATCTCCAATAACATTCTGTCACTACTTCTACTATGGTGGTGTTCAAAATAAACATACAGTTATGAATATGATTTTGAGAGCTTATACTGTAAAAGAGGTCCTATTGCTGTTACTGTTCTGTATTGACACATACTTCCGGTATGTTGCCCCAGCTTTTCAAAACTGTGGTTAGGGATGTTTGCATATCTAGCTTTAGTCAGTCACATCATTGCTGTGTGATTTCAGCCAGAGAAAAAAGAAAGAAAGAAAGAAAGAAAGAAAGAAAGAAAGAAAGAAAGAAAGAGAGAGAGAGAGAGAGGGGGGGGATGATGGAAGGAAGGGAAGGCGAGAGAAAGAGAGGGAAGGAAGGAAGGGAAAAGAATTGTATAAGCTTCTGTATGTGGTTGAGAAAAGCGTCAATGCATCTTCTTCACAATCTGTTTTAGGACAGGCTTGGCAGATAAATAATAAAAGAACAGAAGTTAGAGTTTATATACACCAAGTACATAGGTGTTCTTATATGCTTTTATCTATATTCTGAAGTTCCTAGTGATTTATGCTTGTGCTAGATTCCTCTTAGAATTCTCACACTAGTATATAAAATGCTGAAAGTTAGAATCAAATTATAGAATTTTAGAATCAAATATTTGGGCTATTATTTCAAAGCTAAAAAAACTACCCGACCATTAAATGGAGGTGTAGTCTACTGTAGTTTGTATCTCTTGAATTCCTGTCCAGTGGTTCTCTGCCTTCCTATAGCTCTAAAAGGCAGTAATATTTCTTTAAAAAGGAACGCAAAACAATGTAGTTACGTGTGTGTGTGTGTGTGTGTATATGTATGTATGTATGTTTTCCTGGCTAGAGGAAAAAAAAACATATGTATGTATGTATGTATGTATGTATGTACGTCTTTGGTTATTCGGGTTTTCTCCCACATAAAATTGGAAGTGTCTTGGCGACGTTTCAACGAAGTCTCATTCGTCATCTTCAGACTGGTGTTTTCGGCTTCGTGCTTCTAGGAGCAGTGTGTGATCGCAGCTGTTTCTTCCTTTTAACTGCCAGTGGGGGTGTGTTCTGATTGGTTGGGGGCTTGGCTGTGCTCCGATTGGATGGAGGGTTGGCTGTGCTCTGATTGGTTGGGGGTGTGTTCTGTTTAGGTGGGGGCTTGGTTGTGCTCAGGTTAGTCTGAGTTTCAGGGGGATTTGAGCTGCTTAGCTGCGTTGCTGTTGTTTGGCTTTGCGTTCGTGGTCGTCCCACATCTTCATGGTGGGTGTCAGTTTGCTTCATGTATGGATTGGAGGGGTTTAAAGTGGCTAATGATGCAGCTGTGGTCTGGCTTCTGGTTTGTGGTTGTGCCTCATCGGTGTGGATTTGGGTTTGTTTTTTGTGTGGATGTGTGGTGGTGACATCCTGTGTGGTTTTTGTGAGTGTGGGTCTGGTGTCATTCTTAGTGTTGGGGACTCGTTTGTCAATAAGGGCGGGTTTCCAAATGGCTGGTAGGCGGGAGGTATCATCTCGTTTATTCATGCTGTGTGGGCGTTTTTCTATCTCGATGGCTTCTCTGATTATTCTGTTGTTAAAAGTGTTCAGTTTTGGCGATAGTTCTGGTCTTTTTAAAGTCAATTTCGTGTCCTGTGGCTCTAAGGTGCTGGACCAGGGAAGAAGTTGGTTCCTCTTTTCTGACTGAGTTCTTGTGTTCTTCAATGCGTGCACTTATTCTTCTGTTGGTTTGTCCGATGTATGTGGTGGGGCAGTCGGTGCATGGGATTTCATATACTCCTTGATTTTCTAACTCAATTTTGTCTTTGGGGTTTCTTAGAATGGTGGATATTTTTCGGTTTGTGCAGAATGCTGTCTTGATGTTGTGTTTGTGGAGGATCTTGCTGATTCTATCTGTGGTGCCTTTTATGTATGGGAGGAGGGCTTTGCCGTTTTCTTGTTCTCTGTCTTGGATTTTAGTGGGGGTTTCTTTTTGGATTAGGTTGGTAATCTTATTTCTTTGGAATCCATTGGATGTTAGTATGTTAGTGAGAGTGTGTAGTTCGGTTTTTAGGTGTTGTTCGTCAGCTAAGCGTTTTGTTCTGGAGATAATATATATATATTATACTGCATGCAAGTTATTTTGTGGAGTTTGATTTTTATGTTTGTAGAGAACACCTTTGACAATAAATATAATACAGACTCAGGCATGCAATGTTATCTTTTGGTCTAGTATTAAGAACCTTATTATGAAATGCAAACACATATGGAGAAGTCACACAGTTGCAGGCCGGTTAAATATGTTACTTTGGGAGGGGTCATTTCCTGGAGTGGTGGTTTATTCTGGGATCCCTCAATTCCTTTTACCACCATTATCAGCAACACAAGAAGCCAGAGAACCATTCCCATAGCACTTATCTGCTGTAAATGATTTTGTTAAATATGCAAAGATGAATTGTATTTTAAAAAGATCAAATAAAACTTGTTCAGGTTGATTAAGACTTATTCAAATAATAGAAAATGCAGCTATTGTACTGCATTAGATTGAGTCATATAAGAAAACTTTAAATCTTCCTAAAGTTTCTCAAATCTTTAAAAATTATTTAAAGAAATCTAAGTCGTTTTTCTAGCAAGGAGTCCTTTAAGAAAAAAACCCCACCTGTTTTTATAGCTTATTTTTATTTTTAGAAATTTGCAGATCAAGCTATTATTTTAAAAGGTTTACTGACTAGATTTGAATTCTGGAAGATTTTAAGGAATGTTAAAATCTTAAAAATAAATTAAAGTTACTATCAATTTTAAAAAGGTAGTCCTCGAGTTATGACCATTTGTTTAATGAGTATAAAGCCTTATTAAAAAGTGACTTACGGTCTCTTTTGTGGTCATGTGATTGCAATTTGGGCAGTTGGCAACCATCTCGCATTTATGAAAGGTTGCAGCATTCTGTGATCATGATCTGCAACTGTTTTTGCAATTTTCTGGCAAAAAAAAAAAAACCATTGGGAAAGCTGGATTCACTTAACAACTGTGTGATTTGTTTAACAACCTCTGATTTGCTTAACAATCTTGGGAGTCACTTAATGACTGTTGTAAAAATTTTCATAGAATCAGGTCTGATTCAATTTAATGACCATAATAAGATGGAAATTCCAGTCCCACTTGCAGTTATAAGCTGTGGTCTATCTGTACATTTCATTTGCTCTTCTAAAGAGTCAATTCAGTCTGTACTGAATCAGTTAATTCAGTCTGTATTTAAATGTAATATGGGAATAATTTAATTTAGCCATTTTCATCCTCAAAATTATAAAAGGCATTCATTATTAAAATTATTTTTATTTTTCCAATAATTCACTGGTTATGATACTCTGAATCTTATTTTGGTTAATAGGTGCTACCAATAGGACACTTATATGAGTAAACATAATCTTGGAGGAAGTAATTTACAGATGGATATTTGCAATCTTGAATTCATACTGTGAACTCATATGAATACTGAAGCCGTATTTACTAAAATATTAAATTAAATCCTTTTATTTTTATTTAAACATATTTAAATTAATTATATACATTAATTTCAATGAAACTGAGCGTAAATGCATATATTTGTCATGAAGTAATTGGAGAAACATGGCATTAAGCAATATTACTCTAACGAGATCACTCCATTTACTGAGGGTATGAAAAAAACATTAAGGTCATAATTAATCACACAATCACTATCTCTACTTTCTATATACATTTTCTCCTGACACAATTGTTCCCTTCTCACCATGTACATTCAACATAGATGGTCATGTAAGAAAAACATGGACAAACTGCACTATCATCATTGGTTAAGAAATTTACTATGTCTGCATCCGGAAGTTAATAATCTTGGTTTCCTACTATTGTACAATTCATAACAGATGTGTTGACTGCTGTTTTGTGGAACAACTTTAACTGCTTGAATGAATTAGTCTTGTCTCATTTTAGAAGACTTACTTTTTCGGATGTACATTGCATTCTCAATATTCTAAGTACAGGTAGCCCTCAATGTACGACCAAAGTTATGACAATGCTGAAAAAAATGATTTACAACTGCTCCTTGCACTTACAACTATTGTAGATACATGACTGCAATTTGGGCACTTGGCAACCAACGTGTATTTACAATGGTTGCAGTATCCTGAGGCTACACAATCATAATTTGTGACCTTCTCAGCTGGCTTCCAACAAGCAAGGTCAGTGGGGAAAACTGGATTCACTAATGACCGCAGTGAAAAAGGACATAAAATTGGGTGTGGTCATGTGACAACTCAATAACTACACTGCTTGGTGACAGAACTTCTGATCCCAGTTGTGGTTGTAAGACGAGGACTATCTATAACTTTTTATTTGTTTCCTTCCTATTCCTAAATCTAGGGTTGGGGCTAACTTATCATATCACAAACATTTATTTTTGCTACCAACTAATGATTATCCAGATTTTTGCTACCCAGACCTGTTAGTTAAAAGAAGAAAATTGGCTTAGTAGAGGCATCTTTCCTTCTTTCAACCTGACCCAGGCTTTGCAAGGCCTCTCTCCTCTGCCTCATAATATCTCTGCTTTTTTTTTAAAAAAAATCCTTTTAGACTGAGAAAACAGACTTAATTAAAAAATGTAATTGCTGGTATCCATTCAGGAATTAAATAATTGATGGTAATGTTTTGTATACATGGATGGGTGCAGATTTTTTTAAAAAAATAAACAAGAAGCAAACATAAATATACAAATGCTTTATTTGGTAATATTGTTACATTTTCAACATTCAAAATATCATTCCAAGAATGCTATAAAAATATGATTGTATCAGTAATGCCTTCTGTGAATTAGTGAAGAGCTGGCTTTCCCCTCAGGCACTAAAGATGGAGCCCAGGAATTGAAGAGATTAATGGGTATATTTATGGACCGGCCCCCTGGTTTTTCTCAATTTTTCTCTCTTTCTTTTCTTTGTGAATTACTGTAGTTCTAATATTTGTGTTTTTATCACTGTTGATAGCCATCCAGAATTGTGTGCTACAAGATAGGTGGCCATATAAATCTTTTAAAGAAATAAATAATGCAGAGTTAGTGAAAACATGAGGACTATACAAAGCAATAAACTGAATAGAACATCTGAAGTACATTTCAGCTGTATTATCAGAGCTTATCCTGCTCAGGACATGGCTATACAGATAGTCCTCGACTTACAACTTTGACCGTTCAAAGTTACAACAGCACTGAAAAAAGTGACTAACCATTTTTCACACTTACGACCATTACAGCATCCCCATGGTCATGTGATCAAAATTCAGCCACTTGGCAACTGATTCATATTTATGATGGCTGCAGTGTCCGGGGTCGTGTGATCACCTTTTCTGACCTTCCGACAAGCAAAATCAATGGGGAAGGCAGGTTTGCTTAACAACCATGTTACTAATTTAACATGCAGTGATTCACTGTGGCAAGAAAGGTCGTAAAATGGGGCAAAACATACTTAACAAATATATTGTTTAGCAATAGAAATTTGGGCTCAGTTGTGGTCATATATCAACTACCTGTATGATGATCTCCAATCAAAATAAAACAAATTATATACATGGTTTGTTTCTGATGACTTTTACATAAGCTGTGTTTTACATAACTGATTAATTTTATTGGCATTTTTACAGAACACAGACATACATGTGTCCATGTGCATGGAATGTATGCTGGATACTTGTTTATATTAATTTTTTGAAATGCTATTTCTAGTATTTTTGTATTAGAAGCTACTATGAGATAAAAATCAATATAAAATGTAGAAGAAATCCATTTTCAGTCAAAATAATTTTTTCCACAAAAAATATGAATATTTTTATATTCCTTTATGAACAAGGAATATATTTTTAATACATCTCTTTACCTAAGGAATACATAATATGCTGTTCTATTATACAGCTGCTAAAAAGGCAAACTATCCTGGGATGCAATTAACAGCAAAACAAAGTCCAGGTAATGACAAGTAATTGTTCCCTGATCAGATCCAATTGGAAATACCAGACATTAGCTCGGGATACTGTAATTTAAAAAAAAAAACAAGTAATAATTGAAGCCAGTTCAAAGGACTGCACCTAAGGATGAGCATCTGAAAACTGCACAAATAGGAATAAAAGGATCTGTTCGTTATTTGACTGAAGAGTCACCAGATAGGAATCTTCAAATATTTAAGGGGTTATAGGGGAGGGAATAGATTTCTTTATTGCTCCAGAATAGAACTATAATAATAGATTACCAAATTAAATGTTTATTATGCTCATATAGACCAACATAAACTAATGGATTAAAACTGCAAAGGAAGCAGTTTCAAGCTAAGCATTTCAGAGAGCTTTACTTGGGAGCCCGTGCAACAGTCAACAACAGGTAGTGAGTTTTCCTTCTAGTGGGTTACTTTCATTGGAGGTCTTTAGCACCTGGATGGTCATCTGTCACAAGTATTCTAGTGAATCTTATAAAGGGTTGGACTAGATGACCTGTAATTTCCTTTCTGGCTCTATGATTCAAAACAACGCATATGGCCGAAATCAGAAATAATAACATCCTCTACGTCAGGGGTCTCCAACCTTGGCAACTTTAAGCCTGGAGGACTTCAACTCCCAGAATTCCCCAGGCACCAGGGGAGAGGAGACTGACTTCAAAACGATCCGTCGAAGGCTACAGCTTTCTTCACCCTCGTTGGCACCAAATAATGCAGGAGATTACAATTCGTCCTGTCTCCACCGGCAGCCTACCTGTATATCATCATAATTGGGATCTAAACCAGGGGTCTCCAACCTTGGCAACTTTAAGCCTGGAGGACCTCAACTCCCAGAATTCCCCAGCCAGCTTTGCTTTGCTGGCTGGGGAATTCTGGCAGTTGAAGTCCTCCAGGCTTAAAGTTGCCAAGGTTGGAGACACCTGCAGTCTATGTCACAGGTGTCCAATCTTGGCAACTTTTAAGACCCGTGGACTTCAACTCCCAAAATCCCCCAGTCAGCCATGCTTAACAGTATAAATCTTAAATCTTCTATGGTATTATACTAATGAAAATAATAAAAAATCGGCATATAATGTTATTATACCAATAGGAAATAGATTGAAAAACAAAACCCAAAGAGCAAAATTTACGCTCCCACAGAGAGGGACTCCTCAGGGTGCCGTAGATCAAACAATGTCGACTGGCGACCCCCAGGGGGAGAGCCTTCTCTGTGGGGGCACCTGCCCTCTGGAATGAACTGCCCCCGGAGATTCGTATGATCCCTGACCTAGGTACCTTTCGCAGTGCCCTTAAGACTCTACCGTTTCAACAGGCTGGGCTGGCTTAAGAATGGATTTTAATGAGTGCTTTAGTTTTTAATATAGGGCCTAATCATTTAATATGAGCTGGTCTTCCGGGTGCGATTCAAGGTGTTGGTCACCACCTTTAAAGCGCTCCATAGCATGGGACCCGGGTACCTTCGAGACCGACTTCTGCCACCAATAGCCTCCCACCGGCCAGTCCGCTCCCACAGAGAGGGTCTCCTCAGGGTGCCATCGGCCAAGTTATGTCGGCTGGCAAAACCCAGGGGGAGGGCCTTCTCTGTGGGAGCCCAGCCCTGTGGAATGAACTGCCCCCGGAAATACGTAAGATTTCCGACCTCCGGGTATTTCACTGTGCACTGAAGACCCTGTTGTTCCGCCAAGCCGGGCTATCAACATAATAATTTTAAATTGGGGTATTTTAAATTTCTGGGGTTTTAAATTGAGCCGAATTCATTTAATAATTTTAAACTATTTTAATTGATGTTGTCTTGTGTTTTTAATAGGCTGTACACCGCCCTGAGTCCTTTGGGAGAAGGGCAGTATAGAAATAAATAAATAAATAAATAAATAAATAAATAAATAAATAAATTTATTATTTATTTGTTTATTTGTTTATTGTTTTAAACTGTTTTTTAAAATTTTATAGATACGTATGTTTTAGTATGGCTGTGCACCGCCCTCGGGAGAAGGGCGGTATAAAAATGTAAATAATAAATAAATAATAAAATTGCAAGATCCGGAACCCCCTGGGAAAAAAACCGGCTTACCGCCTGATCCACAAAACACTTCAGAAATATAAAAACTGGCACTGTAACCTGCAGTCAAACCCCAAAAGGACCGAGACAACCTTGCCATAAAGGGAGCTCAAGGCAGGATCCGAGTTCCAGAACAGCCCCAACGTTCCCCCCACAACCGGCTGCCCGCCAAATGTTCCCCGCACCTGGCAGGCCCAAGGCTGAGAAAGGCTGCTTAGAGACACGCGTCTTTTCCCGAATACAGCGAGTTTCGCTTGGGTAGAAAAGACTGCGCGTCCCTCCCCGCCCTGCTTCCCACGCGCATCACGCTGTGCGCCCGCCCGGGCCCGACTTACCGGCTGGGAACAGTTGAAAAGTGGCGGAGCGCTGAGGAGAAGCCTCAGCCCTGAAAGCCCAGGGAGCAGCCCCGCCACCAGCACCAAGAACCACGAAGCGTCTCCCCTCATCCTCCACGCCGCCGCCGCCGCCGCCTTGCTCCCGAAGCGGGACCACCGGCCTCATTGACCTGGCTCCGCCCGTCTCCGGCTTCCGGGACCAAACTCGAAACGGGACATTGAGGAGGAGTCTGAGGAAGCTCACCTGAGGCGGGGCCTTGGCGGGCGGGGCGTGGTCTCCCAGAGAAGGAGGGGCTTCGGACGTGCGTTACCTTAAGGCGAGGAGGTGTGGGGGGGGCGGGGCTTACAGGGGAAGGTGGGCGGGCCTCCCCCCTCCTCTGGACCGGCGGTGAGGAGACAAGCTGAGGGAAAAAGAGGGCGTGGCCGAGCGCGAGCGGCGGCCGTTAGTTAGCGCGAGCCTGTGGGTGCCGGTTAGCTATTCAAAGGGCGACTACGGGGGGGAGGGGGTGGGGTTTGACAGAGATATTATTGACAAGATTGGTTTGTGCGCGTTGCTGCTTTGATGTTGATGTTTTTGCAGTGGAAGCTTCAGGCCGTAGAAACTTAAGCCTTCCTTTCTTCCCGCCCAGACCCCACCGTTTCCTTCCTTTGAGGGTCCTCTTGCTAGCCCTGATGCCTGACAGAGAAGCCCCCCCTCCCTTCCCAAAGTCCTTCTGGAGTTCAAAAGTAAAATAGATAAAGAGTTAAAATCGAAAACAACTGAAATAAACCCAATCTGCTCAGAAAGAAGAAAGAAAAAGAAAAAGATAGTGCCTAAGAGCACCAGCGTGCCTACCGTCCCTGTCCTAATGTTTCCTCTATTAGTATTTTTTATGTATTCAATTCATGCTTATACTTACATATAAATTTATTTATTTATTTATTTAATTATTTTTATATGCCACCCTTCTCCGGAGACTAAGGGCGGCTTACAATATATACACACACACACTTATATATTACCTAAGATGCTCTTGACAAAATAAATAATAAAATAAATAAACTTTTAAGAAGAAGCTATAGAAGAAAGCCCCCAGAAGTACTAAAGAAAATGCATTCCGGATAGGTTAGTCGGCTACAAATGAATGCTTTGTCCTGTGAGAAGGAAAGATGTGATTTATTGCATAAATTACCAAAAACATCTTCCTAATCAGCCTGAATAATGGGCTGGAAAAGTACACAACACAGTGTACTTTCACAGTGCTATTTTGTGTACAGAGAATTAACAACAGCAGCAGGTGTCCCTTAACACACAAATGGGTGTAAAAAAAAATGGTCTGAAGCAAATTCTGACTAGAATATATATCCTTTACAGAAAAAGCCCCCCCCTCCCCAAGCAGACATTCTCTGCTTTATTTGATTAGGATTTATCTTTCTTTTGGAAATTCCAGTTGTAGGCTGTGGGGAACAATATTTTTCCTATTAAAATTTTATTTCAATTCCTATTCCTATTGAATATTTGAAATTTATTTCAGCCTGTTTTCCTTCAGTGCCCTCTTCCAGTTTTGCTTTTTTCTGTAAAAGATCAGTGTGGTAAGCTATTTTATTAACAGGCATAATCTTTCATGAGCTGCAGGTCATATTTGAATTTCATGCAGGCTATAGTTATTGGTATCTAGCATTCATGATTATGTATTATCTCCAGAATCAGTTATGATGGTTATGTGCCATTTCAGGTATCAAAGTAAATTATTCAGAACAAACATAAAGGTGGTCTCTTTGCAGAGCTTTTTATAATCAGCTAGTTGTCTATACAGCGCTAGTGACTTTTACAGTTTTATGTATTGGTAACAGGAGTTTTTAAGTAAGAAAAATATTATTAAGACAAGGCACAATAGAAATATATAAAATTATGCATGATAGAAAGATGATGGAAAAGAATATTTTTTCCTCCTGATATAAAAGTACAATCCATGATTATCCAAGTAATCAATGAAGTAGAATTCTCAGATGTTGGACAAATACTTTTCTTACAACATATAGTTAAATTATGATTTTCATATTGATCATTGCCAAGCTGAATGGCTTCAGAAAAGATTCCATATATTCATGGAATTTACATTTATCAGTAACTACTACATATAATGGCTCTGTATTATTTTCATTGTCTGGCATTGTGTTTCACCATACAAATTGCTAGGCAATCAAAGAAAGAGGACAGTGTTGTGTTGATATCTTACTGGTTGTGATCTTCATAGACATCCGATCACTATGGAAACAGAATGCTAGTTGAAATAGGTCTTTGGTCTTGATCCAGCTAAGTTCTTCATATGTTCTTTGGCAAATTGAAAGAAGTCCAATACTGACTGATCCTTTACTTACCTCAATGACCAACACAGAATATATACATTAATTATTTTAAATGATAAAATGTATTTGGAAACAAAACCAAGCCGCATGGGTTTCTTACAATGCTACAGATAAGAATATTAAATCCACACATTTCACTAATTTAGGACAAGAATTGATTCTGATTTACTATATAAAGTTTAAGTTTTTACTGGGTCCTCAAATTATTAGTATTCACATACTTTAAACTAGCATTTCAGGAGTCTTAAAATATAGGAATATATAAGTAAGACTATTTCTTATGCAATAATTATATCAAAGTAATGTCAAAACAAATTTCATATTTTTTATAAATATAGAGTTAGAAGCGGGCATTTTCTCTATTGTGCCCAATCCCCTTGAGAGATGACTTTCTTTTGCTTGAACATAGGTTGTGAAGGAACTCCTTAACTGGATAATTGGTTCCATTATTTGATTTTTTTGCTCTTATTTTTTCCCCAATAATCAGCTGGAGTCTGGCTTCTTGTAACTTAATTCATTACATCTGTCTTCAAATTATGGGTGTATGATTCATTTGTTTAAAGATAAATGCTATTGAATTTTAATTTTTTTCTGCCCCTTTCACTTTTATATTCTTATAATAACTTGTATCTTTCACATTTTTCTTAATGCAGTGAATAGCATTTAGAACTGTAGACATCTTGATGGCCACATGATATGTTCCATGTAGAAAATTCACTGAAGTGTTTATATAAACAGGAATGTACAATTGAGCATATTTTCCTGCAGTATAGCTATTTTGAACATCGGGGAAGATTGTTGCTTAGTGGAGGTTTTAGGTTCAGTTTTTAAATGTAGCCCGTAGCATTTTAAATAGAAAACTATGGGAAATAGTTTTGTTAAATCTTGAAGAGTTCTTATAAATCAAGATTCTTGATATCTGATTCTGATTTATCTCAAATTGTTCATTACTTGTAATAATCTCTCTCTCTCTCTCTCTGTGTGTGTGTGTGTGTGTGTGTGTGTGTGTATTTATATTTATATTTGGTGGTAGCCAATTAAGACTGATTCTGTTTGCATTTTGCATTGATGGGACTATTATAGATAACATTGGGGTGAGTACGTTTATAAATAGATGACAATATCAGGCAAATTGGTCAGTTTGCAGTAGATTCCAAGAGGAAGGATTATATTTAGAAACAGTTAGGATAAACCAATAATGACATAGTTAAAAAATTTATTAGTAATTTTTAAAATAACATAATTCCTTAAATAAAAATGCAGTCTTACAGATATATACATTTGTCTCACACCAAGGCAATTCTCTGGCTCACTTCTGAACAATTAATTCTGTTTATTTAAAATATTTGAAAAGAGGGTGAGACTTTTTGTTTTTAATCTATGGCAGGATTGCATGGTTACAAAGTATACAGTTTTATTTTACAAGGGCAGTGCAGCCTTCTTGATTTCAGTTAAGTTCTTTAAAATTGTACGTGTGGTAAACAGTTATACCTGGGCACATCTCTAAAACAGTATGAGCATTTCAGGTTAGAGAAAAGGGGAATGTGGAATAGACGTATATCTCTTAACTGACTTACATTTTGAGAATCCAGTTAATTCACAAATCCAGACACTTAGAAAAAACTACATGCAAAAGGCTGTTTCATGTAAATAAATATTTATAACTGATGGTCAGAAAGGCAGACCTTCAAAATTATTCTCCAGCCTACCTTACAATGAAATTAGAAAAAGTGGCTAATATTTTTTTTCCAGGATCAACTCTCTTAGCTTAATGGGGTAAGGATAAATATGGCTCTTCCTGTACTGTGCTAAGCTGAAATCAGAGACAGTGATCTATAGGTATAATACCCTACATTATGTAGTTTTTAAAGTAAAATTACATAAATTGTTATTTCAAAAATGCTTATCTTTCTAAATTACATTCATTTAGGAATAAATCTTCCCATCCTCTATACATACATATTGAAGAAAGGCACAAGGTAGCCTCATCATCCAGACACTTTGAGATAATCAAACATATCTGCAATAGAGGCATCTTTGACATAGAGATAGTATTATAAATATTAAAATATCTATTGGTAGAGACATGCAGCATGTTTATTTTATGGAAGAATGTTGATATGGAAGCTCTGGGTATGTGAGGTTATAATATGCCTTATTTATGTATGAATCTCAAATTCATAATTATAGAATCTAGAAATTTTTTCTTTTTTAGAAGTACAGGCCTTGTAAGACACCAGTAATGTTATAGGAACTAATTGGAAAAATTCAGTTATTCTAATTCTAATGTATTTGTAATATAGAAGATTAATAAAATATGTTGTTTTATCAACTTGCCCCTATTGACATAAATTTACAAAATGATAGCTTATTGATAACAATGGGTCAAGAACTTCAAATTGTCCTAAAATAGAAGACCACATTATTAGTCTAATCGTTTAATGTAATATGAGGATTTTCTTGGAGTAGATCCATGGTATATACACTGAAAAGAAAGCTGAGATCTATTTTGTATTGTGCTTGTTGTTTTTAAGCCTTTGATTCTGGTTAAGCCAGTGCAAACACTAAGTCATGAACATTTTGAATTGCCCATGTACTTATATTAGAAATATGTCCAGAGAAGAGATAAGAAATTAAGGCAAATAAGGGAATGAAAGCAACTTAATTATATTTAAGGATATGATCATGCACATCTTCTTGAGTTTCTTGGAGGAACATAATTAAACTGTAATGAATAAAGTCAGAAAAAATATACGTTTAATTTTGCATGCACAGGGAGAGAAGAAGCATTTCATCAATTCATAAAGAGAACATGAGCAAACTTCTATTTGGCCACCTTTTAATCATTCAGAGAAGTTACCACTATGTTTTTTTCTACTGTTCTCCAGAGCCTGTTTGCCTTCAGCCCACTGCTTCACTTTTAGGGATCTGGAAGACAACAAACAGATCCTTTTTCTGTCCTTTTCCAAAAATTTCTGGAATGGTTATAGGCTTTGATTGCCAAGTATGCCTAATGAAGTTATGGGAGAAGAGGACCTATTTGTGTATCTTGGTCAACCGTACGCATTCAGTTACACATACAGAGGAAATGGGCAGCCTTGGGTTTTGCCTTCCCATCTAAATATTTTATGGAAGTTGTTTCTAGCTGGAGTTCAACAATAGCAGTTGTAGTTAACTAGTTTGCCTGGGAACAATTTATAGTTCAATTTATAGTAAAAGTTCTCAGAAAATGTAATTGGAGGATTTTTTTCTCTATTTTTCATTTTGGAATTGGTCTCACCTCCATTTATCAGTCAGCAATGATGTAAGATGATAAATCTTCTCTAGTCATTGAAAAATGAAAATGTGAAATTTGTTCATCTGCAGCTTTGGTCCATAGCACATATGTGCCCACTATAATTAACAAGTAAGCCAGCAAATATATATATATATATATATAAATATTCTAGACAGTTCTTCAATAGGTTTTTCTGGTTTGTAGGATTCTGTATTTAGCCCCTGCAACTGTGAAATGCCTGTCCGAAATAAATTGTCACCAGAAGCAGAGAAATAATATAGGTTTTCTGCTGTGAGCAGAAGTAAGTGGGTGGAAAAGGGAAAAGCAGTATTGGAAAGCACATGCCAGGATCTCAAGGGGACAGAGGTTGTTTTGTCTACAATTCAGATGTTTACATGCTTCTTTCTTTTTGTCAGCTTGGTCTTTTTATTTTTATTTCATGATTAAGATCTGTGAGAATCCTATACCTCAATAGGTGTTTGGTTTTTAATAAGGTGGAATGGCTTGTCTGTGCTGAAAGTATAGATTACTGATCTAAATTTTCTTCTTAAATAATTGGGCTAAATACATATAAAAAGCAGTTTTGTTATTTATTTTATTAGCTTCAAAAACGTAACTGTTTTTACTTTTAAATGGGGATTTAAGTTTGTAAGCCATTTAGGAAGATTATTTTTCTGCATTTTCTGGCATAATGAATAATTTGTTTTATCTAGATTTACATGCTTCATTCAAAGAAGGAAGGGGGATTCAATAAATTAGTAAATTCATACCAATAGCATGATTTGAATGGTAATCTTGAGTATTGGTAATACAAGATGTAACAAAAAATGTGCATGCCTATAGCACAAGATAGTGAAACAGCATGTTAAAATCTACACATTAATGTAAGAAGCTGAGGTGAAATAATTTACTTGATTTCAGTTTTTAATATTATTAAATGGAGTAACTAGCATAAATATCTAAACTATATTACTAGGCTCTTTTTCTGTACTAATCTCCGCTTTCAATTTGATTTTGGCAGAAGATTATGGTAGAAAGTGCCTGGTAGCCTTAATACTCTTAGTTAAGAGTTTGGGCGAGAAAGTTATCTGATAGGACTACCAGATCTAACGAAATCTGAAATCTACCAGAAATCTGATAGCTGCTAGATGTGAGAATTTGAAAATTCTGTGTCTGCTGAATCTGGTGGTTGTCCTAGTTTCTGACAATAAAACCATTTCAAAATGGCATTAGTGATATTAGACTCCAAAACTTTCTGAACAAGTGCTGAATAAATGGGATTTAAAAAAAAACCTAGTTTAGAAATGGTTAAAAAAACCTAGACAGTGATAAAAGTGGGGCGAGGGAGCAGCCTGAATGGTGAATATAAGAAAAGAAATAGGTTTTGTTTTTAAAGAAATTCTCCACCCTTTGGTGCTTTGGGGGTGTGCTATTACACCTGATTTCCACATCTTGTCAATGTTACTGTACTCAGGAGCAGGACTGATTTTTCAGAGTTGGCTATTCATCTACCTGCGCTATTTGATATGGTACAGGATAAGCCACATGTAAAGACATACTGTGTGCTGTAGTCCCTGTAACATATGCTAAACCTGGATCCAGTTTCTCTGAAAAAATACCTGCCTTTTTGTATTATTGTGTTTAGGTTACATTATCATTCTCCCTTCCACATTTCTCTGTCTGCAGCAGTCATTTCAGAGGAAGAAGGAGATCTGATCCAATCTCATATATGTTCATGAACTCTTGATTTTTATCATATTTCATACTTGTAACATGTATCAATGCATAAAATGTGGATAAATTTCTTTTTCATTGAAAGTTAAATGTGACTATATCCAGGCAATTTTGGTATAGGAAATTGTAAGATATTCAGTAACATTATGTACTGTATTTTGAAACCCTAATTTAATCCAGAACATTGTTTTATTATAGACTTAGCAATAGCACTTAGACTTATATACTGCTTCACAGTGCTTTACAGCCCTCTCTAAGCAGTTTACAGAGTCAGCATAAAATCTGGGTCCTCATTTTACCGACCTCGGAAGAATGGAAGTCTGTGTCAACCTTGAGCCAGTGAGACTTGTGAATGCTGACAGTTGGCAGTCAGCAGTCATGATAGCACCACCAATATACTTTTGATCCCAGACCTCTCCACACCACTTGCATTTCCTGATTTCTATTGAACAAATAATAATAGAGGTACCTTTCAGAAATATAATTCTTATTATAATGTTACATCCCTTCATGCAATAAATACCTTTGGTTACCATGGCTTGCAAGGCCTATTAGATCAATAGTTAATGTTCTCTATTCTTGTAACAGTTCCCTATTTACATTTCTGTTAGCATCTCATCTTTTTCTGCAAGAGGATTTTGAAGGCCTATATAAATATTAAACTATAATCTGTTTTCTAGACATTGTAAAATATTATTTTAATTGTGAAATATAAAGTCATTCATGTATAATAGGCTCAGTTGTTCAGTTCCACAATTGTTCCATAATTTTTCTTTAATGAAAAATCTTATTCTGTGTGTGTGTGTGTGTGGGTGTGTGTGTGTACACGCATATTGTAATGTTTTAACACAAATATATAGAAAACAGTGTAGAATGTGGTTCAGATACGAGGGCGTTAAAGGATAGTGTGGGTTGTTTTTAAGTAAGTATCTAAGAAACTTTAATTTATCTTAGTAACTCTGATCAGCTAGTGGAGTTTGTATTATCTAAAAGTTTCTTCTGGGTTGTCAAATTATATTTTTATATAAATATGAATTTTTCACAGAAAGATCTCAAACTCTAAGTCAGAAAAAGACACAGGAGGCTGGCTGAGACCCATACAATTGTTATATTGGCATCAATTTAAAGAAAGCAATGATACATTGCTTTGAAAATTATCAAGAAATGTAAAAAAATGCATTTGCCCTTTTTTGTTGTTGTCTTCATAGTCATCAATGATATGGGGCCACGGGTAGAAAACAAACCAGAATAGATGCAATCCTGTACATAGTGCTCCTTTGGCTGCTTCCTCAGACAGTGGGAGTTTGGTTAATAAAGCAGATTGGATCCCTTGCAGTAGCAGCAGTATCTGCATCATCATAATCAGAAACTTCTTCATCATGTGTGTTCACCTGAAGAGGTAGACGATGCAGAGAAATTCTGGGGCTAAGGGAACGCCTGCTCTGGATCATTAATTCCTGTTCCCTCCCATCATTTAAATCATACAGCAGAAGGAAGAAAAAGAAAAATAGATCCAAAATAATTGATCTGGTGGAATTACCAAGATGGCTGGGGAAGATGGAAATCTTGGTATTTGCAATCAATGTCTTTAGTTGTTGCACAAGTAGACAAACTCAAGAGTGATGCTTGCATTTTCCCTTCTAAGAAACAGCCCAGTCTTTAGATTCTGTAAAGCTTCCAGCTGCAGTGCAATGATTGTATCCAGCATATAAGCTCAATATGAAGGGAAAAGAGAACATGTTATGAAATCAAATCTTTTTTCTATTGTGCCCCAAACTTCGCCCCGCTTAAAGGAGGCAGTAGCTCTTTGCTCATACCCATTTGAAGTTTCTCTCTTTCTAGGTTACAGCCATGTGAGCTGAACTGCCAACTACCCACCAGCAAAATGTGCTGGCACCAGCAAACTTCCCTTTTATCCACCAATTTCTCATTTAGATACAGGATACAGTTTTGTTTTAACTGATCAACATTCAAAAGGGTGCAAATTGAGACTAATATGTTAGTGTTCATATATACTGATAGTTTTCAGAAATGAAGCAAGTGTTGCTACCAAGCTGAGTATTGAATTGTTCTTCTTTAATTGGAGATGTAACTAATATCCCAAATGCATAATCATGGCAAAATAACTTACCCTAAATATTATCCCTTTTCAGATCTTTGAGCACTCATAGATCTTTTATTTTTTTACATAAGCACAAAATAAGCACCATACCTTATGTAAAGAGTTTATTAATACTCTTCCCTAGGCTTTTGGAATGTTATCACTTATTTTGACTGTAACTTGCATAAAAAATTATTATGCATATTCATATGAGGCTTAGAGAATATACACAAATGAATAGTTCAGATAAGAGCCTTTTAGAATAACTGTTAAATATATAGTCTCAAAACATGTTAGCAAATATGCAGAAATTGGCGATATAAATAGATTACTTTATATACTACTTGATCAGTACAGAAATTATTCCTTTTGATCAATTCATAAATGACATATTCTTCACTATCATCTGGTGAACATGCTTCTGTATTCTTCTTTTTGTATAGATCTGGCATTGTTCAGTAGTCGTTACTTATGCCATCACTTACTGCAGCTATGTTTTACCTGAATGTGCAATGTCACAATTTAATTCTTATACCAATTAAATAAATAAAGCAATTTGGCATTTGCAAAGACTGGGCAAAAGGTGCTTATATACCACAGAAGATAAGGAAATAGCACCATATATGACCAGTTACACTGGTACTATGCTACCTGTGGATTTCAATCTTGTAAATAAAAGATCCTGGCAGCACCTAGCTGACCTCGGCTGATCTAGGAAGCTAAGGAGGAAAACCTTGGAAGTATTACTGGGAAGTTTAAAAAAATCTTGAAAGAAGGCATTGGCAAACCACTTGTTTATCTCATAAAAATATGTTTGTATCTATGTAAGTCACCAGTATCTGAGCTTGACCTGAAAACATCTTGGTGTTGGTAAACAGAACGTTATCACAAGTAATAATTTTGTAATTGCATACTTTAACCCTTTTCACAACTGATATAAAATAATTCAACTAGTTGTTTTTAATCTTATTCCTTGTTCATCAGAATTTGTAATATATATTTGTATTGGGAATGAGGGTTAGCATACATTTTAGGACTACTGTGTATATGCATTAATTGCATTAATGCATTAATATATGTGTATATATTACAATTTCTTGCCAATTGAGTGCTTCTTATACAATGGATGAACTAAGTGTGAACTAATTCTGATGAAAAACTTTAAGCTGTTTCTGAGATATATGAGTAGTAATAGAGGTTTTTTAATATGCTATCAATGCAATATTAAAAGCCCCAGAAAATTTGGGAAAAGTTCATGATGATCTGAAATAAATTTGTATGCAAACATTAACCTTTTCTGGACTTACAGTATGCTTCTATGGGAATAAGCCGTATTGTAGATTAATAGCATTTGGTCTTGAGATTCATATTGTTCATATTCTGCACAATGTAAAGTATCTCTGAACTTTAGGTAATGTGAAGTTTTACTTCTTTTACTTTGTGATGTTTCATTTACTGTAGTTGAACAATAAATTAATTCTCCCAGTTAGTGGGTGCTTGGGGAATTCTTTATTATGGCCAAAAGTCAGCAATTTAAATTAACCCACAAGAACATGTCTGCTTTGGCTCATGTGCTTTTGCAATTTCTTTACCCAAGGTCAAAATTACAACTAGCACAGTTGTACTTATCTCATTAAGTTTGAATTTACTCCAAGGCACTGCAACCCAGTAATCAAGATGCTGATATGAACTAGACCCCCATGATGATATCAAGGGGAAGACTAGATAAATAACTAGAAGGAAAAGGAATTTAATACTCTGGCAGATTTTGTATCTTTGTCTTATAGGCTCTATATTTATTGACTGATAGCAAGTTTCTAATTTCAGGGAAACTATTTTATGTTTTATGATTAACATGCACAAAGATTTTAGTGAGCAAGATTTATCAATAGTTATGAATATTTTGGCTATTTAAAAACATTTTGCAGGGCTTTTGAAACTTTCAATAGCTCAATTAATGACTATTTATTATGCTCATAGTAAAGGCAGGGTTTGTTTGGCTTTGAAGAACGGAGTATAAGTACCCTAAAGAAAAATAATAGTTACATTGCAGAACAGAAAAGGAATGTTCAGATTCTAATACTTTAATATAGTAGAAGAAATTTAGTTTTGTACTGTGAAGATAGAAACAGATGTGTAGTATGACAAACAATGATGCTAAGTATCTAAAATTATTTATTGTAGGATATTTTTGAAAGACTGGAGTTTAAAGAAATCTCAGTAAACTGATATGCTTTCACACTTCTGAATGAACTATCACCTAGAAACAAATGGTAAAATGAATATGTCAGATTAGTGAGAATAATATATTTTGATTTCAGAATACATTTGTCAAAGTTTATATAGGCTTAAGTATAGGCTGGATGGTATATGAATGGATACAGAGCTGGCTTGAACATGATACTCAACATGTTCCTTCAGATTGGAGTAAAATATTGTATAGGGTAACTCAGAGAAAGATTGGTGGAGGACTATGGATGGCCTTAGGAAAAAACAACTTAATAGGGATATAACGGCACTCTTCAAATACCTGAAAGAAGACCACATAAAAAACCCTCAGGATTGGTTTTCTCATTTCAGAGTGCAACAGTTGACATCATAGATTTAAGCTATAGGAAGACAGATTCAAAATAAATTTTAGTAAGAGTATCCTAACTGTTAAGAGCTGTTTGATGATGAAACCAACTACCCAGAAAGATAGTTGCTTCTTCGGATGTGTTCCAGTAGATAAATATTAGAAACCATTTTTTTGAAAGTTTAATTTGGATGTTTGTATTAACCAAAGGTTATAATGATTTCAGTGTTCAACTTTATAATTCTGAAGGGGGCTCTAAACAGCACTCTAGAGTAGATTTTACTTGATTTGGAAGAAATCTGGATTTCAGTATTCAGAGAACCAAAGATTGGATTCGTACTGACTGACCTTTGTTTCTTGAAAATAACATTTCCTATGAGTAGCAGCTCCAAAAACTACTCATTTTATCTTCTGTGAAGGAAAGTTGCTTCTGTTAGAAACTGTATTTGAAATATTTACATCAAATTGCCTTTGGCCTGTGATTTATGTATGTTTCCCCCATCAATGAATATTCATCATGATGTATGTATTCCCTCCTCTTTTGAGACCTGTGTGTTATAGAGGATTATATTATATTGAGCATGTGGACCTGCAGAAGTGTTTCCAAATGTTGAATTGCAAACTATATCTATAGTTTTAATCCTGAGCAGCATATAATTACAATATTAATCAACTACTCAAATTATTCTACTAATTCTTAAACAAGTGGTTGATGTTGAATTATGCCAAAATGCTTTCCTTATGTTCAGGAGGTAGGTGGTAATAGATATGCTCAAACATTTCCAAGTACTACATTGCTGCATGTATGAATCCATGAACTGAGGCTACAGAAGCAACTGCCACCTGTTTTTAAATATTTGAAAGGGATCAATATTTCTTCCTATATTTTTTTTAGTATGCTACCATATCACGTCTTTCTGTATTTGTTCTTTGTAATTTTATGAATTATCCTCATTCATTAAGGTCTTGTAAATTCAGTTCTGGAAAATGATAATTACATTCTAAATTTTTAAATCAGTTAATATAATGCAATATAAAATTCTTGTCTTATTTATTCATTATGAGATTTTTGACTTATATCAGACTTTTAATCACAATCTCTAAATACTTTTTGGCACGTTACTGTTATTATGTTATTCTTCATTTTATAATTGTGCATCTTATTCCTTTTTCATATTGGCCATGTGTTACAATAAATGTTACATTCTTATTTATTTTCTTTAATCTGTTTCTTTCCCTTTTATTTTACCATGAAAAATATTTAACTAGTCTTCTGAAGTACACAAGTGAAGCTTCTCTACACATACAAATTTGGTTAAAGGTATATACTACGTCCTATTGAATTTATAGAAATTATTCAACAAACTGCTGACAATCATTATTTGATGTCATAACAATAATCTCTGTAATATTTGTGGCATATAATAAAAAGAAGATATTCTCGTCCCAGGTTGCTGATGCCAGCTCAGTTTACAGGATTGGATATATTTGATTATCCTAGCATATGGAATTATTCACCTTTTTAATTAGGAGAATCACTGAGAGAAACTATGCAAAAGAAGAAAGCTGGATAAGAATCCATAGCTTCAAAATGCAAGATAGTCTTCCCAATTCATGATCATGCATGTTTAAGAAAGTGCAGAGTAAGGAAAATGAACACAAGATATGCAAAATCAGTTAATGTTCAACCTGTCAGTGGGTTGCAGGATAATTACTTAGCACTAGGTACACTTTGTTCATTATACAAATTAAAAAATGAAAAAAAAATAGTATACCCTTTCCCCCAACCACATGTAGAAAAGCACTTAAAGTTCAAAGGTAAAGCTTGGCACACTCCAAATACGAAATGATTTACTTTACATGCAGCAAAATATACAAGAATTGTTATTTTTTTTCCCTTAAACAAACTTAATTCATTATATTTGCTTGGCACAATTGCTATTCAGTTTAAAAAAATAGTTGAAAAATACTGAAACTGACCTGAATTCAAGTATTACGGTTTCTTCAACAGAAACATTTATCAATGCAATAAAACATCACACGGAATATATTGAAATATAACTCCTTCTCACTTGGTTGGTTTTGTTTGTTTTTAATCCCCTTGTTTTGTTTTTCTATACAGTTTTAATGCCAGCACAATTCACACATTTTATTCAAAATTAATATTATTGCATTGTTTTTGCATATCTTGTGGAACAGAAAATGCAAAGAGTTACTGATTCCCCTTTCAAAAGCAGAGACAGTGATTTATTTTTGCACTCAAATCACCCCAGATAAAGCTCTCCTTCAGTTATAACCAGGAAATGGAGAACTGTATCAAGTTGCACACTTTCAGGTGTGTATTCACTTGCTCACTCATTCACCCAGTCCTGCTCATTCGTTCACACATTGCAAATATACCTAGTACTATAAAGAATCCAAATCAATCATTCATATGTGCAAGATTATATCAAGTGCATTGCCTACTATCTTTAAATTATAAAACAACAACAAAAAAGGAAATTTTCATTACTTCAAATAAAATTACAAAGTCTGGTATACATTATGATTGGCAAAACTCCTAATATCATTAGCTTCTACCAAATGTCAGTGGAAGAAAACAAAAACAAAAAAATAAATCAATGTTAAACATTTGTGAAGGTGAAAAACAAAAAGGCAGGTGATTACAAACTCTGTAAACACTCCATCCCTCTCCCTTAAAAAATAAAATACAATAAAATAAAATATCCAAAAATAAAAATTGGAACATGCTTTCAAGAAAATATTAAATAGCAAGAACAAGGAGAGATCTACATAAGCCCATCACCACCTCTCTTAGAAATGGGCGGGTTGCCTGAACTCCTTTTGACAGAGCTGGCTTCATGCTCTTGGAGCCATTGGCACAGCTAACTGTCTTGAACTCAATTTGGCAGAGATGACTGCCTGAGCTCTGATTGGTTGGCAGAGAAGACTGCCTGGGAGTCTCTGCATTTCCATCAAGAAACATCTGCAATATTGCCACCTGCATCTCCTATCTTGCAACTTCTGCTTCCTTCTCCTCAGCAATGTGTGGGATCTGTTGCAGAAGTCTATTCCACTTGTAGATCAGAAGGGTCTTGGCTTTATGGAGACAGTGAGGCTCATACAGAACATGTGCAAAATGATTCCTTTTTGTACAAGCAGAATTGAAAGACACCCGCTTGATACAGTGTCCTTTTGGCTACGGCCATCCATAGGAAGTTGAGGTTTTCCTTCACATTCAGGAAGCAGCTGTTGTTCCTTGTGCAGGGACTGAAAAAAGAAGGGAGCTGACACACTGCCTTTGATTTCTCCTGATTCTTCCTTCACGGACACATGCTGGGGTTCTATATTCACTCCTGAAAAGCTCTACACCACCCAACTCTGCAATTCTTCCCGACAGAAATAAATGAAGAATGCTGTTCTGGTTACTCCTGGTCACGAGAACAGTGAGGCACTTCTGAAACAAACCCATTAGGAACATTGAAACAAATTAAAAAACCAGCATCACTTTCAGCTTCAGCAACTACAGGCTGCTGATATAAATCCTGGTATCCTTAGATTCCTCTTGACTTTTCCTAGAATCTGGGTTTTGGGCTGCTTCTGCTTCTTCGCCCATACAGTCCTGCCCTGGGTCCCTGCAGTTAACAAAAGGCAAGAGGTTGCCATTGGGGCTTGGTTTGCTGTTACCATTGAGAATGTTGTCCGCAGCATTCTCCATCTCTTCTATTGTCAAGTCACAGGCATCAGCTAGTTCTTGGGTGGTAACCTCAATGAACTTTGGATCTTGAGCAAACTGCATCAGTCCTTCCGAAATCAAGACCTTTGATAATCCAGGACATCAAAAACAAGGAACAAAAGTGGATATCAGTATTAATATCACTGTTATAGCAAGGATCAAAGAAATCAGTGAAAGGAAAAAAAGATACAAAACATTTGATAAATAAAATTTGGGGAGATGAATTGATATCTGCAAATTCAAAAAAAGTCCCATGAGATTGTTTTATATATAAAATCACAATTGAATCAATGCCTTTAATTGACATGCTGGATCTGTGGCTGTGAAAGGGGAGATGCAAGAAATTAAATCTATTTGTATTGGGTTATATGTACCACATGATGATAAAGAGACATTTTTTAAATACTTGGTGGATCAATTGTTTTTATTTTCATATCAGAATTGGGGAATTGAAATGGGGTACCCCTTCCTCAGCTTGATAGAACATATAGTAAGGGAATTAAATCCAATCAGGGTAAGTTATCAAATAAATATATATATTTGATGGATGATTTGGCATTGATAGAGTCTCTTGGAGACAGAAAAATGAAAAATTCAACAGAATGTACTTTTTTTCAGAAAAACAAATCTTTTTCAAGAATTGATTTGATATGGATTTTTTAAAAAGTGGCTAAAATGTAGTCCAAGTAGACATGTTATCAAAGACTTTTTCTGACCACAATCCAGTTAAGTTAATACTAAAGACAAAATCTACCACTTTCAGATGGAGATTAAATGAAGCATTAATTCAAAAAGACTGGGTAGTAGAGAATTGTAAAAGAAATAAAATGAGGTTTTTCATCGCAACCTTGACAAAGATACAGAATTAAAAACTGCCTGAGATGCTAGTAAAGCTGCAATGAGTTGTTTTATTTAATATAATTCTGAAATAAAAAATCACAAGAAAAATGCAAACTATTCTAGAGGAAATTGAAAGAAAAGTTGAACTGCAGAAAATACCAATAGATTCCCCCCCTTGTATATCAAATAAAACTTTTATAGCAACAACTACAGATGTTAACTACACAAGAAATAGAAACCAAATTAATGAAATTACTAAAACAGAAAAAAATTGAATTTTGCCAACATACCAGGAGATGGTTGGCTTATAAACTGAGAAAACAAGGAAAAAAAGATTCAATAAGATAATACAACTCTAGTAGATAATGCATTATTATTCACATTTATATAAGAGACAGGAAATCTCCTTGGAAGTATCGGAGATGGATAATTATTTGAAGAAACAGAATTTACCAAATCTTACACAAGCTCAGAAACAAATTATGAATAGCCCAATAACAACTTTTGAAACCTCAGAAGTTAAAATGAAAATTAAAACAGTGAAAGCAGATTTTTGAGTTTATGCTGGAAATGTTTTGAGAATCAACTTTTAATTCCACTTAAAAAAGTGATGCAACTAAAAACTTTAATACATAACTTGCAGTGGCAGATTCCTGGAAAGAGGCAAATCTTGTTTTATTACCAAGGAAGGACAAGATTTGGTTTCTAATAAGATTTATAGACCAATTTCATTCTTGAAAAACGACTATAAAATTTTTACAACAATATTGTGAGAGGAATTAAAAGATTTTAATGAAAAACATTGGTTTTAAAATTGTATGTTGTTTCAGAAAAACTATTAAAGTAGGGAATGACATTGAGAAAGACTTGTGAGATGGGATAAACTACAGTTCTCACTATTGGTAGAATGTTATTGAGATGAAGTTTTAATAAGGATGTTATATTTATTTCAAACCATATCAGTATTGACAACTGATTCACCCTTTAAACAATGGAGCAAAGAAATTTCTAGAGTTGCATGATAAGGTAAGAAATCAATTAAATATAAATTGTTGCAAGATCTGAAAGAAAGAGATGGTTTAGGACTACTGGACTTAAAATTGTATTTTGAGGTATTTTGTTTGGTATCTATGAAGGAATGAGTGACTTTAAGACATAGGTTTATTGGAATTAGAAGAACATGAGTTGAGATTTGGGTGGCACAGCTATCTGTGGTATGGTAACGATTAATATAAATTTTAAAAATCACTTTATTAGGCATGCCATATTGAGAGTTTCGAATAGGTGTAAAGTAAAAATTTGTCTTAAAATCTCTTTATGGCTGTCACCACCAGAAGTCTTTTTTAGAAGATAAATTTTAGTTATACTAACTTCATTTAGTTATGCTGATTTATTGTTACTGAAAGAGAAACAAGATTAAAAATAAGAGAAGAGTTGAAAAAGGAAGGATATATTTGTCAATAGTTTGCCTATGCCCAGTTGGCAGAAAGATTTAAACTGGATAAAAAAATTGTTTTTGTAGATGAAAAAACAGACTGAAAGCAATTATCTACTAATGATAAACTTCTCATTGTCAAGTTTATAAATAGTTGTTGAAAATGGACCAGTAGGATAAAGATAAAGTACATGTGATTAAATAGGCAAAAACTATGGATTAATGGGAAAATATGTGGACTAATGAATTGAAATTTTATTGAAGTATAATTTGAAATAATCTTTTAATAAAATGACATATTAATGGTATTTAACTTCTGAAAAATTATCAAAGATGTTTAAGGGAATATCAAAGAAGTATTGGAAAGGTAATCAATGTGAAGGTACCTTTTATCACCTTTGGTGGACATGTAAGACTGCCAAGTGTTGGGATCAGATATGTTGTTTGATTCAGAAAATATTAAAAATGGCTGTAAAATTGAAATCTGAAGCTTTTTTTAAGTATCGTGGATAAACATTTTGAAAGAAAACATGGGATTTTGTTTCTATATATGACAACAGCATTGATATATCGAAGGTGGAAAGATACCACCTTTCTGACATCCATCAAAATTCTGACAACTGAAGAGAAGATTATAAAATTAGAATTGATAGAGATGGCTAAACTGACTATTTTGATGAAAGACAAAACGTATCTAGTTTGTTTCCCAATTTTGGATTTCTTGTTTAAGAAAGATAAAAATGAAGATTCGATTTTAGGATTTGATAGTTAGATCCATTATGATTATGGAAATAATGCCTATTCTTACTGTTATTATTAGACACATGTACTGTATATTATTTTATGTTTCTATTTAAACTTAAAGTAATAGGTTATTTTGTCATATAATTCTAGTATTATTTTGATTGTTTAACTTGTATATTTTTATATGATGTTTCTGTGTTTTGTTTCAGCCTAGAGCAAGTAGTTGCTTTATTATATGTTTATATCTGTACTGAAGAAAGTTGGAAGACAACTTTTCCTTGTTTTGATTTTTTTTTTCTTGTCACTTTTTAACATTTTTTCCTTTTTAGTCCCTTTCCCCCCATTTTACTTTTCTGCTCCTGTATTTTATCTCTTTGAAATGTAATAAAGTTGATACAAATAATTAGTGAAAAACCTTGGCAGTTATACCGCCTTTGTTCTGAAGCCTACTCCTCTTCCAAAAATTATTTGAAGAGTGGGGACTTCTGGAAATGAGGTCAGAAATTGTTTGAATGAGATGATAAAAATGAAGACATCACTTGGGATCTTTATTCCACTTGCTAGGTTTTAAAAAAAATTCCTCATGTTGGGTAGAAGTTATATGTTTTTTTCCCAATTTTTACAGCCATGACTGAGAAGAATCAATTTTTTTTCACAGTGTAAACTAATGTAACACCAAGAAACGTTCTGGCTGTAGTAAAAGTGCATTGTTAATTGCACTAGAACTAGTCAATTAACTAGTGTTAATTGACTAGTTCTAAGCCATCCAACTAGACTGGTGTGTATTGGGGATTTTGTTTTAACTGACAAAGATAAAATATATTAATCAAATTAATTATTTACCTTGGACTAGTCTTCCCATTTCTATCGGCAAGCATCCTCTCTGTACTGAATTATTTCTTCCCATATATTTATTGTTAATGCTATTTGGAAAAAAATATCTATCAGGTAAAAACTGAAGGTTCTATCTGATGAATGGGACTAAGAATCTTGCCTTCCAACTATGGCTGTAGTCCTATCTATCTGGCCACTTCGATCTTGCAGACTTAGCGTGCTCTGTGTTCCTTTGATTAAACAATAACATCTCTCAGGACCATGAAAGCATGCCTTCTCTGGAGCAGCACCACTGTGCTTTTGCTCTTTCCCAGGTTCTTAATGAGGGAGAATGAGACCTCTTGCTTCATTCCATTTGGTCTTCAGGTTTGTCAACTTTTATCTTTTATTATCTTATTGTAATTTCTTTGGTTGATCAGTCAGCTGCCCAGAATCTTTGTGAGTCAGGCAGCATACATGTTTGATAAGAAGCTTATCATTAAAGTTACCAACTTAAGAAATAATTAGTTAAGTACATCTTACTGTTCGTCTATATTTGCATCATATATATTTATGTATGTGTGTACACATACATAATTATTAATTAGTGCTTATCTAAAAATTCACACGTGGGAGCTTGCTCTTCTGTTTACAACTATAACTGACATCAACTTACCGCTTCAACAAGGCTGTTGGCACTACCGTGGAATTGCCTGCCACACTCTCTTGTCTGACTGGGAACTATAAGGGAGAGTGGCCTGGCTTTTCGGGTGCTGCTAGAGCTGGTGCTATCACAATATGAGGAACTGCAGTATATTGATGGGAAGCTATTATTGAGTTTCTCATTGGATTCCTCCTCATCAGGCCACAATCCTTTATCATGTTGCTGTGGCCAGTCTTGTGTACAATGTGTTGCAGAGGGTGTGGAACAGGGTCGAGAAGATCTAATTGAGGAATGACTACTTTGAAGAGGACTCCGACCTGCAACTGCTAGTGCCTGTAGACAGAAAACATGATAAATTAGTATGTCTGGCAACATGGTGATTCAGAACATGGCTGAAAATGAACCAAATATTTTTGAAAAAAAGTTCAGTTTAATCTGGGAGCTGGCTGTAGTTGGATAACGATATTCCTTTAACTTGCTGTTTTATATTTCATACTGACAACGTCCTCAAACTTATAGAAAACTAGAACATGGATCAAAAAGAAACTTTTAACAAAAAATGAATAAATGTCTGCTCTTCACCTATTTGTAACTTGAAACTTGCTAATTGAACAAGGATAATACATGGGTCTCATCATTCTTGTGTATTCCATAATGCCATTTAGAATTTGATGGACAGTTTAATGGATTTTAAGATAATTTACGCATACTTTATATATAGGAGTGATACTATCATTGTTTTGGGAATAGAGAAGAGTGCCTTTCATTTGAAGCTCTAGTGGGTTTGCTGGGAAGTTGTGTTTGGATAAACTAGCACCTCTATATGATATGTAGATAGTCACCATGATTTCTGTGACAGATTATTATAACAGATATTTCTCACTGTATTGTTTTAAGATATTGTAACATCATGCCCTATTTAAAATCATCCAATTCCATGATTTTATTATACCCTTTGGCCAATATAAAGTTAAATTATGTCAGAGTGAAAATTGTAGCACAAAATTTGCCCATATAAGATGATAGCTGAATTACTTGCATTGAGTAAAAATTAAGCCATATTAGATGTTGCATTTCTGTATCAATAATTATTATCTAGTAATGTGAGAAGTGAAAAACTCACTGGAAAGTAGTTTAGTTTAAACCAATAGTTGACTAATAAAAATCAAACTTAGACTTCAACTTTGATCAGACCTGCTTGAAATCATAGTGCTGTGTTAATGGATCTATATAGTAGTTGGGCTAGAGTTTAGCCTCCCAAAAACTTTGTAAAATAGGTAAAGCATTCCCTTGGACATTGTTAATGACATCCCTTCTTATGCCACTCGTGAATCTGTTACAAGGCAGGTCAACCTGTAAAATCTGGGAAAGATTGTATTAAAGTGTTAAAATATTATGTTATCAGATTTGGTAGCTGGAAGAGAAATTTATCACTTCAAAAGCAGACTTTTTCTTTTTTCCCCCCCTCTGCACCGTGTAAAACCCACTGTGCAAAATCCCACCCAAACCCTGATTTGGGTTTTATACGATAAACATCCTTTATATTTTTCTTCATGAGCTTTAGTAAACTTTGTCTCTGAAAACATCTCAGTCTTCCAGGTGGGTAACATTTTTTAGATAAGTGATTCAGTTAAATCTGTTGTATTAAGAAATGACACCTTTAAGACGCTTGTAGTACTTTATCAAGGAACAAATATATTATGGCATGGGTGTTTGTAGCTACAGTCCATTTCATCATATGCAGTTGATACCATAATAATTTGTTTGTTTTCAATTTTTGATAACTCTTGTGCTGTTGGGAATTTGCTTTAGGAAAGTAAGTCATCAAATATAAAGGAAAATCTTACCCTCTAAACAGTCTTCAATTACTTTTCCAATTCTGTAGAACAGAATTCAGTAGTGATATTTTAAGCAGATAGCTTATTATTTATAATATTAATTTGATGTTATTTTCACTAATAATCTTTTTATTAGATGTATACATTGGGCATTAGATACATATATCTTATTAAATGCATACATTCAGGTCAGAAAATTAACCATACCATTTATGATCAAAAGATCAGATTGTGTAACTTATTTTTTAAATGCAATATGATTCAAAGGATAGCTGTTTCTAGATGCAAATACTCACCTGGCGATGTACTAGATGCAAAGGTAATATTGTTTTCTGGGGAACACCTGCAGTCTGATTTTTCTGTCTCTTTAGACACTCCAGATGGAAGGATGCTCTTCGACCTAAAAAGCCATTTGCACAGTATGAAAATAGATTAGTCCAACTGCATAATCACTGAAAAGAGAGCATTAGCCTATGAAGCAGATACCTATGAAGGTAGCCCTTGACTTACGACTAATCGCTTAAGCAACTGTTTGAAATTACAATGGACCTCCACAGAGCTATTATGATACAATTTTGAAGTTCTGATGGCTCCCCCCATGGTCATCTGATTGCATTTTGGGTGCTTGACAACTAGCCTTCATTTCTGACTGTTTGCAGTGTCCTGCGTCTTGTGACCGAAACCAGCATTTACTCCTAATTGCTAGCAAAAAATGCCCACTGGGTACAATGGGTTTGCTTAATGACCATGGAGTTTGCTTAATGACCACTGCAAAAACATTGTAAAATTGGTGCACCGTCACACGGTGACCTACTTAACAACCAGCATGATTTATGGTTATAATCCCGGGCTCAATTATGATCTTATGTTGAAATAACACACTTCCCTTGTATCACGGATAGGATTCTGTTACTTGTAGTAAGGACTTGTCAACTAGAAGAGTATTGCCATGTTCTGCAATTAAGGCTCCTGTTTATATTTTTTAGCCCATCTCTGTGAGTTGAGGCAAAATAGTTCTTTCTCTCTCTCTCTCTCTGTGTGAGAATATGGCATTTGTAGAAGAAAATCACAGGCATAGAAAAGATTAGGAATTTCCCCTCAGCTATTGGGCTTTTATGTTAAGCTGACAAACACACAATTTCGGTTTACACAGTTCTTAGTTAAACACTGTATATATTTATATGATATTTCTCATTGGGATAATAAATCTGGACTATAAGTAGAAAGTTATATTGCAGAGCATTTTGCAATTTCTTTTTTAAAAATGTGCATTATCTGCAAAACGTGAAAGTCAAGAATAATCTAGATAGGAACTCTCATTTTACAGGAATTCCCTGTAACATATATGTCTCCAATTATAGTTTGAAGATACACAATGAAGACGTAATATTTGTTTATTTGAAAACAAGGGCTGTCCTAACTGAATTGCGAGTTTTAATTCAAGAGCAGTTGTCAAGTAGTTGAATAATGTTTGTGATCCTGGATAAATTAACAGAATCTCAGTATATTCCAAAAATTCTGGCAGCTAATAGCTAAAAGCCATGAAAATATGTATCAGCTGTGTAATCTATTTCATGTTTGCAACAAAAGATAGATTTTTAATAGATTGCACAACTTTTTAAATGTCAACAGTATTACTTAGTGATGAGGAATGTAGAAATCCGATCTTTGGAGATGGCTGGATGTCTTCTTTGCTTTCTGGGAGAGTTAGCTGTCGGTGTTCATCATCTTGGTATGATAACCTGTAATTGAAAATGTCATGTTTTTTCCAAAATTTAGCCAACATGTTGTACAGTTCTTAAAGAGGAACACAGCCTCTTCTATCAGATTTAATTATGTTAATGTCAAACCATACAATGTAGGGTTACTGGTCTAACCCTCAAATCTGCAGATTTTGCCTCTCACTTTTGTTCCACATACCAAGCTGTTACTTGTACCATAATGGAATGATGAAGTATTTGAAAATGATATTTTAGAATGAGTTCCTTTATGCCTTAGTTTTCAACATTTTTCTTTTTTAAACAGCCTACCATATTAATTATATTCACAATAGTATTGTTAGGAATACATTGATAATTCATCCAAAAAATTAGGAATAAATTGGTATGTGGAAGCAGATTTTTATAACCTCCAGCAATTGACAATCCAAGTATCATTATAGAGAACTATAGAAGAATCTGGGTATGGTATACATATGCCTAAATTTATGACTTACCTATTTATTTTCATATTACAGCACTAAATTATTAATTCAGGTACAATGCTAAATTATGATTTGCCTACAAATACTTTGCTTGTTCCCTCTTCTTTGTTTCCTATCCTTGTATATTTTATTATTAGCAAATTACAATTTAAACTATGGTATAAATATATGGAAAAAGTTACTAATGTATTTCTAACCTGGAACTATTGGAAAGGCAAGATTGAATGTTGTGATTCCATTCTTAAAATTCTAAAACAACTTGTATACTACAATAAAATACTCACATTTCAGGTGATAACAAATTTGGTTCACTGCAATATTCAGTTTCTTCATTTAATTGCTCACTATATGTTTCTTCCACCTGAGGAGCTTCCTCTTCACTAACAATTGCTACTTGGCTGTCTCTGGAGTAGGATCTAATAAGCAAAAAGATCAGAATGATTTATGGATAATGAAGAAAATATAAAAATGCCTCAGTGGAAACACTGATTCTGTTGCATTATTTTTAAACAGGTCCTGGCAAAATTATCTTACAAGAAAGATAATAATGATAAATTAATATACTTTACTTAGAACAGCTTTTATCAGTGGTGGGATTCAAATAATTTAACAACCGATTCTCTGCCCTAATGATTTCTTCCAACAACCAATTCACCAAACTGCTCAGAAAGTTAACAACCGGTTCTCCCGAAGTGGTGCGAACTGGCTGAATCCCACCACTGGCTTATATCCTGAGACAATACTCTAACACTATCAAACATCTACATCTGCGTATCCCAAATCCTTGAAAAGGACTTGATAGGCGGACAAAAATACCAATTCTACTCTGAACTTCTGGCTGCCTGTGCAACGAACCATAATATATTAAATTTGTATACTATCGGACTCGGAGGGACTCTGGGCTGTTTATAATTGTTAAAACTTTTAAAAATAAAGAACAATGTGAAAACATAAAAACAGCACAAGACAAAAGAACAACAATGGCAAAGAAAATAAACCCAGAGGGGAACAAAAAGGAAGAAAGGAGTGTTAGTCTTCTCTTTAAGGTTCTTTAAAATACTAATAGAGTCGGAGTTATTCAAATTTCGAGGTGAACCTTATTCCATGTAGCATTATTTGGAACCCAGGATGTGCCAACCCTGCCAAATTGAATTGGCCTGGCAAATGAGATACAGATCTCATGTCTGGAAATTAATTTGGAAATGGGGAAGCAAGATATGAAGCACCTGCCTTAGATTTCCTGTTTTTTATAATAATAATAATAATTATTATTATTTTTGAAAAAACAAGCCTGAAACCTACATTGACCTACTCAAATGGTCTGTTAGTATTGCTTGGGACTTATGTACGTAATTGCATTTTATCTTGTTGGTAGTGTAGCTTTTAAATTGTTTTGCTTCCAGCCAACTTACACATCATTTTAAAAAACTTATTTTTGCCATGACTGTCCTCTCACTGGTATTTGGTGATTCACATGCATTACCGTGATTTAATTGAAATAACTGTCACTGTTTTAGGAGTAAATCAGAGGGGCAGGGGCTAAATTAATGTTTTCCATGTATCTAATTTTTTTGCCATTAAAAAAAAAAACAAGCTAGTTGTAAATGCAACTGTGATTCAGAAAAACAACACAGGAAGAAAAAATTGACCCCTGCCACTATTCTAAACAGACTGCCAATTCACATAATAGCATTCCAGTAACAATTTTTTTTAATTGATTAGATGTATATAGCTACCTGACGTGTGTAATCATGACTCTAGGTGGCAGTATGTCAAATAAAAACCAAGCAAAAAACATTTGAGTACAGTTAAGAGACCATAAGAAGTATTTTATTTATTTATTTATTTTTGTCAGATTTATATGCCGCCCTTCTCCCGTAGGACTCGGGGCGGCTCACAACAATAGAAAAACCCGACAATAAGTAATAAATAGTATTAAAACCAAATTAAAATCCCCAAATACCCAAATTAAAATCCGTGGCAGATCAGGGAAGTTGGTGGAAGAACCATGTCTTTAGGTCGACGTGGAAGGTGCGGAGGTCGGGAGCCATCCAGAGCTCGGTGGGCAACCCATTCCAGAGGGTCGGTGCAGCCACAGAGAACGCCCTCGTCCTGGGGACCACCAGCCGACACTGTCTAGCTGAGGGGACCCGGAGGAGGGCAGCCCTATGTGAGCGCACTGGGCGGTGGGAGGCCGGTAGGGGTGATCCTGCAAATACCCCGTGCCCGTGCCATGTAATGCAAGTAATGCAATGCCAAGTAATGCAATCCATAGGCAACATATCAATAACACAGAGGCAGCGTCAATCAATCAATCCCAGAAAACTGTTTGCTTCCCAGAAAACAGGGTCATCTGTCATTCTGGCAGTATCTAAAGGGGAAAAGTCCTTTTAAAGCTTTCTGCATGGTGAAGAGAATTGGAGCTATCTGAGCTTTGACTGAGGTGGGGTGGGATAGGGATTATTCCAAAGTGAAGACATTGGCATAGAAAAGCATTGCCTCAGGGAGAGATCTGAAACATGTCCATTTTGTGACAGCAAGTGGGATAGACCCAAAGGCTAGGGACAAGTGGTCCTGCAAATAAGTTGTTAAGATTGTATATAACTTGTAGTTCGACCGTAACAATGAATGTTAAATGAATGTTTATATGAAATACAGATGAACAGTAAGATTAGCTCCCTCCCTAATGTTTCATAATAATGTATCCTAATTCATTAGGAAAGCATGGGAAGAAAAAAAATGAAGACAATCAGGAATAGAGACGGAGAGAAGGAAAGAGAGTGGTATTTTTGAATTGCTGTAGTTTTGCAGAATAAGGCAGAAATCTGGAGCGCAGATCTATTTGCCTAGCCTTTTAAAATTATGCTTCAGAAAACAGGGCAAAGATTGCCTTGCTCTGAACCAATGCAATCTCATCAAAAATAAAATATTAACAAACAATATTTCCTATTAAACAATATGATTTAAAAAACAATTAAACTAGAGAGGATCTCAGTGACATTTTACATGAAGTTTCCTCAGTACAGTATACTAAACAATCCACCTAGTTGTTAAGGGTGCCAGTTTAAAGTAAATGTTTCAAATTAATTAAATGGTCAGATTTAGATGCCCAAAGCATTTCAGCAATATTTTTTCAGCAATCCCAATTTCATCTCAATATGATAAACACTAATCCCCTTAAATCTTCTTTTCCATGCCTATTTTGTCAGGATTGAAAGAGGGCAAGAATAAGGACTCTTTACCTACAAGTTGAATTCACCATGAAAATAATTTTTGTTTTATCTATCACAAAGATATTAGGTCTTTCATCATCTCCTAGGATGCAGTGTTTATTCATTGCCAATTATTATTTTCCTCTTTCCACAAGGCCTAAGACTATTTATTCTGAAGGAGCACAGTAATGAGTGTTGAAGAACACACAGAAAGAAAAATAAAAAGAAACTTTTAAATACGCACACATTGATCTTGGTTATATTTTTCATACTTTACTTTTCGTACTTTAGTTACATCACACATATCCTCAATATTTGCTTCTTTATATTGAATATTTTAAAAGGACTTATGGGCACAAAGACCTCAGGATGGTTAAAGGATGGTTAATTTAGATCAGATAAAAAAGTACTTTTCTTGCATATGCTTAATTATCTCACAGAATTAACTAACAAAAAATATTGGAATGACTCTGCCCCTAGGGTACAATCTCTTCTTCCAGGAGTACTCTGGAAGTATTCTGGTTCCACCTACTGCTTTTGCAGTGGTAGTTTGATAACTTCAGAACCCATTACTCAAGGATACCAAGATAGAAATAATTTAAATCAGGGGTCTCCAATCTTGGCAACTTTAAGCCTGGTGGACTTCAACTTCTGGGAGTTAAAGTCCACCAGGCTTAAAGTTGCCAAGGTTGGAGACTCCTGATTTAAATAGTCCAAAACTCCTGCCTGTGTTGTATTGAAATGGAGAAGAGTATAAGTCCTTCTTGCCCCCACCTCCCACCCCCGCACAGGAGAAAATCAATTAGGAGTAAAACAAAATTAGACTTTCTTAGAAAAAGGAAAAAAAACCCTGCCAAAATATAAAAATTAGCATGCAAAATGCAACATGAATTTATGAAGCAAAGGAAATGCTAGATGATGCTTGTCTGATGTAAATAGAAACAGATTTTTTTCCTGCCAAATTTTGATACTGCAGAGATTTCAACTTGGATTATAAACACAATATCTCCATGCTTACCCTGATGAATGGATAATTGGACACATTTCACTAGGTTGCACAAAGAAAATTTTTAAAAAATCTTTTAGCATCATGGAGAAAAACTATATCAGAGAATTACTGGCTGGAACATCTACCTATTCCTCAAATGCATTTTCTGTTTCAACTTCCATTTTCCTGGGATTCCCAATTTTAGTCAGTTAGCCATGTGCTTTTCACATCTCAGTTTTAGAACTCTTTCAGTTGGAGAATCTGGAGTAATCTAATTCTGTAGATGGCATCTCATCTGTGGATGAGGATTCTATGTCCTTTCCTGCCTGGAATATGGACTTGCTGGCTGACATTTGCAACAGATATCCTTAAATAATTCTTATGAAAATTTGTGGCAATTTTTATCCATAAATGTTCAATAATCAAAAGGCAATAATCCTGCCAACAATCAGTGAACATGAGCTAATTCCTTCTTTCCTACTTTACTGAGCCAATTGGTCAGTTTTTATTAAAAACATATATTAAGATTGACATCCATCAAAACTCTTCTTAGATTATGAAGCTGTAATATTTATTATGTTACAGACATTAATTTTCTGGCCCAAATGAGGAAGGATTACCGTAATAGAAGTTTGAGCCTTGGAATTCCCTATGCAGGTGGTCCATTCAGAGTTGTTTTTCCAACTGGAAAAACTGGGAACCTACTAAGTAGATAAGTAAATGAATACCAAGAAGCCATTAGGATAGTTTACTTGAGTACCTCAATTTACATTCTCAGGTTCTATTATAGGATCTCTTATATGGTGATTTTGCTTAAAATGTTCTGAAATAATGTTGACAAATAATAAAACATTGTTTTGTAATGTGTTTGGAATACTCGTATACACCACAAATAGTCAGTTTGGTAGTGGTTAAAGCTAGAAAGCAGGAGACTGAGAGTTCAAGTCCCACTTTAGCCATGAAAACTTGCTGGTAAACTTTACAGCAGTCAATCTCTCAGGCCCACTCACCTCACGGGGTTGTTGTGGGAAAAATAGGAGGAGGGTGTGCTGGATATGTTTGCCACCTTGAATTATTTGTAAAATAATAAAAGTGGGATATAAATAATTTAATTATTAAATTAAATTAAATTAAATTAAATTAAATTAAATTAAATTAAATTTAATTTAATTTAATTTAATTTAATTTAATTTAATTTAATTTAATTTAATTTAATACCGCCCCTCTCCGAAGATTCAGGGCGGCTCACAATACATTCCAAAAAATCATTATAAAAAAACATTAAAAACATTAAAAACTCATTAAAAACTCATAAAATAATTGAAAAGTTTTATTTACAAAGAAGCAAATGGAAAGGAGATAGGGCTGAACCTTGATGGATTAGGACTAAATACTGTCTTAATTCATTTTTTCAACCATTAGGTTTTTGATGGATGTACTTATATTCCTAATTCTTTACTAAAATTTAATGTAATAATTTATTTGCTGTTTATTTGAAAATATATAACAATTTAAAATTAATTATATTTTGAAATGTATGGAATAGCCATTTTCATCATCTTCTGGGAGGGAGTGTATCGGGGCAGGTATCGTTACTGGTTCGCTTGTGCGTGTGCGCTTGCATGCGCGTGGTGCTTCTGCGCATGCACAGAAGTGAGTGGGTGGAGCCTCATGCTGCCGCCACTACCGGTTTGCCTGATCCGGGGCAAACCGGTGGCAACCCACCACTGAAGTGTATGTATGTATGTATGCATGTGTGTATGCATGTGTGTATGTATGTGTGTGTATACACACACACACACATAATGGCTCAAATTTCTGTTATATTATTATATATTTCTCTTTGAAGTTCCATGTGCAATTACAATGATCTATTAAACTGGCAAATGATAGAAATATTGCTACTGTCAACAGTCTTTACCTTCTGCATCTGAACTTCCAAGGAACTTCCTGGATCCGTACAGTGGCGGAGGAAGGGGTGCTGTAGCTGTCCACGGTGCTGACAGTGTTGGAATAGCTTGGTGGATTAGAAAAGCGTCTCAAGGCAGTATTGTTGGCATTATTGATGTTAGCATTGGAACCTGATGAGGAGTAACTACTTGGCGTGAAGGTGGAATCGACAAGCTTCTCATGGGATGGGGATTCAGTGTCTCCTTGGTTGTTGCTAGATTTGTTGATGTGCAAAGGGCGCTGAGTAGTGAATGTCTGAGGGAATGAGCTTCTGCCATCACTTTGGTAATAGCTGACATGATTTCCAAACAAGCCACCAGCTCTCTAGAAGCAAAACAGAAGCATATTAATGAATGAATAAAAGCATCACTACAGAGGTAGTAATGTATAGGAGGTTATACAGCAAATATAACACAACTGGGCTGTGGTAGCTGTGGCAGTTTGAGTTGCTATTGTTAGGCAAATCCCACATGGTCATTAGGCACAAGAACACGTGACTGTCATTTGTGATTCCTGCTGGCTTCCCCCATTGACTTTGCTTGTCAGAAACCAGCATGCAGGTCACAAATGGTGATCATGTGATAGAGGAATGCTAGGGGCCAAGTGCCCAAATTGCAGTCATGTGACCACAGGGATGCTGCAATAGTTGCAACTATGAGGACCAGTCATAAGCCTCTCTATTCGTTGCTGCTGTAACATCAAATGGTAATTAAACAAATGGTTGCTGAATATGCTATAACAACGTATCCTGTTGTATGCATTCAGCAATCCATTTCATAGGATGCTTTTTTTGGAGCAGTACTTGCAAATAAATATATGGCTCTTAAAACTCCCAATGTACAATGTCTTATTTTCCCTATTCCACAGCAATGTACTTGTCATATAATGCGGATGCTTCTGTCTATCAGGAATAGAATAGAAATCCTTCATATCCTCCATCTTTGGCATTCATACTCCTGAGTTATTATACTGGGAACTCAGGAACCCTGAACTGAGTTCCCAGCAACCCTTCATTGAGGGGAAAGGGAGCTAAGCAGAAGCCACCTTAGAGTTGCTTGATTTCTACAATAGATTCCTTTAGGTTATTGTTTTCTTCTTCAAAGCTGCAGAGGAAGAGGAGGGCAAGAGAGAGAGATGAATGAAACCCATGCCTGTGTATTGGTGAATGTTTGTGTGTACCCTGTTTCCCCCAAAATAAAATATCCCCTGATAATAAGCCCAATCGGGCTTTTGAGCGCATGGCAATAAGGCCAAGCGCTTATTTCAGGGTTCAAAAAAATATAAGACAGGGTCTTATTTTCGGGGAAACACGGTATACATACTTGTAATTTTATAACACAGCAGGTAATATGGTTCTTGGGGCTGTTCAATTCTGCTTTAATATATTGGGAATGTAGAAACATAACATTAACAGTAGTGAGAGAAAGAATTTTAGTTTTATGATGTATTAATCACATTCCGCTAGGAAGGGGACATAAGTCTTTTAAATCTCGGGTCTATTCACTACTTTTGCCAATCCTCTCTATTGATTCTATAATCTTTGATTTCTCATAAGAAGTAGACACTGACTACAAACACAGATGATGCTTGCTAATTGCAGTATACCGGTAAATAGATTTGAAATGCCTTTTTAAGTGAGCTGTTTTTTAAAATTATTCTTAGTTATATATTTTTCTGTTCATCCTGTACTGCATATACTTCAGTCCATGAATCTGACTGAATATTTTTGGCTCATTCTGCTGAACACCAGATTCATGGTGAAAGCACTTACCCTGAAAATATCATCTTCAGAAGCAGCAGAAACAGCTTCTTTCATGGCCTTGTCTAGTTCCTCTTCTGCTGTTAAGTCTCCAGATATTGCCCTTCGAATCTCTGGTCCAATGTCATGTAATGTGCGCAGACCAGCCTAGGAAATATTATGGTTTAGCATACTGGTAGATAAAAGAAATAAAATTTCCCTATTAGCTGATTCATTCTGCAGTTCTAAATGGACAAAAACCCTTTTTGTGGAGTTTTGCAGTAATAGTTTCCCTGTATCTGAAATATGAAAAAAGCAATTCAGAAAAATAGTACCACTTTCAATCCATCTGTGACAGTGGGATTTATAAGATTGTAAATTATAACTTGTTCCCATGCAGTGAAGCTACTTGGTCTGTTCTGAAGTTTAGGGAAAACATGATGAAAACTACAGTGAATATCTTCATAAACATTTCCTAAATTTCACTAGATTTTTGGTAGGATCTATATGATGGATCCTTGAGATGCTATTTGATGGAGCCTGAGTGGCGTAGGAGGCTAATGCCTCCTACTAAGGCAGCATTTAACATCCAGCTGCCTGCAATTACTGCGAGTTCAATTCTCGCCAGGCTCAAGGTCGATTCAGCCTTCCATCCTTTCTAAGGTGGGTAAAATGAGGACCCGGTTTGTGGGGGCAATAAGCTGACTTTGTATAAATAAACAAAAGTATGAAGGCTATTGCTTAATGCATTGTAAGGCGCCCTGAGTCTCCGGAGAAGGGCGGCACATAAAAATAAATAAATAAACAAACAAACAAACAAACAAACAAACAAATAAATAAATAAATAAATAAATAGAATAACCTCATCACTTCCTCATAATTATGTTATAAATATTTGGTCTAAGTATATTAATCTAGAAGTAGATATATTTGTTATCAAGATACCTTATTTCCAATCAGTGGTTCTTACATATACAATTTTAACTAAAAGGCCCTATTTATAATTAATTCTAATAACTAAAATGATACGTTAATGATAACTGGTATACCCAATTTATTAGATTAAATGAAAATGCTTTTAAAATTGGGGCATCTTGAGTTGTTACATCAAAACTAACTAAATCCATATTTTTAAAGAGACGTTTCTCAGAGTTTCTGGAGCAGATCTTTGGTAGGAAAGATAATGAAACTGCTGGCCTGATAATTTCTATCAATGTCATAATGCTAAGCAATATATTGAAGATCCTCTTTTGACTTTCTTTTCTGTAAACCTCATGCTATGTATTCAAGACTTACCTGTAGAGAAAGAGCATTACGTTGTGAAGGTTTGCCCACAAGACCCTGTTCTTTGCGTTTTTTGAATTTCCGGAAATACTCTTGAATTAGGAATGTGGCATAGAATTTTCCAACTGTAACCTCATCATCTAGATGGCAAACATTTGAAAAAAAAAATCAAAGAGAACACTAAGACAATTGATAGTTTATTTGCTTTTGTAATTCACTAACAAACTATTAGTGCCCTACTATTTTAAAAAATTAATCTCCCAGATTGTATTCAGGAAGTGCAGCGTGTATTACAGATTGGAATTGCTATTAAATAGAGTATTGGAAAAAAAAGAAGTACTCACCTCCTGCTGGGGGTACAACCTGATCCAACAATTTCATGCTAGTGCGCTTCCAGATTTTCTTAATGATTGCACGCAACTCCTCATTGGCTTGTTCCAAATTACCTATAAGAAGAAATATTAGTGTAAAAAAGAATTTCAGTTCTTATATGGAGCAGTACTTTTATCTGGTCCACAGATAAAAAGAGAGCCACAGATAAAAATAAGAGGCCATCTTATAATAGGATTCTTAGTAACTCTGATCCTATTAAATCCAATTAAATGAAAAAAATGACAGTTTCTCTTTTGGCCTATTATGACTTGTAAAACATAGTGATAGATTGGTTTTTGAGGCTGAAGGACAAAGCCTGATTTAAGTTAATGATCCTACAAAGGTAGAATGGTATTCAGGGAAATTAGAATGTAAAGATTCCCTTGAACAGAAGAAAGTTTCATGAGTAGGAAAAATATATTTTAGGAACTAGTTAAATATTTTTTTTAAAGGATTCTCTACAGCTAGAGGTTAGTAGGGGCTACTTCAGATGACAAAGTTGTATCTATATATGAAATTTGAGTGGATCATAATTCATATTGCACCTATTTAAGTAACTGTTAATTCATCAAATATCTAGCTATAGTCTTCTATATTATGACCTTAGCTTTAGGATACTACAATACAACACTTGGAAGACAATGGCGTGATAAATGCAATTTTAGCTATGAGGTCAATTCAGAATTGAAACTGTTTGCATCTTCTACATATTAATATAGAAATAAAAACCTGCCTCAAGAAAAGTTAATTAAGCTCTGTGAGACACAGAAAAAAAGTGTTATGAACAGAAATTACCATATTTTTCGGAGTATAAGATGCATCTTTCCCCCCCCCTAAAAGGGGGCGAAAATTTAGGTGCATCTTATACACCGAATGTAGCCGCGCTCACCCACTGGCCCCCACCTTTGGCCTCTGCCTCCCAGCAGTTACCTCCTTGCAGCAAGCAGCAAGAAGAAACAGCTCCTTTCAGCTTCAGCACAGTCTAATTAGCACAAATTCATTGGATCAGCCTCCCGACTCTCCGCTGTTTTGCTCTCAGCTGTTTTGCGTGGGCCTCTGCTGCTTGCTGCAAGGAGGTCAATTGCTGGAGCAGATTTTTTTTTTCTTGAGCTAATCAAGCTATGCTGAAAACGAAAATGAAAGTAAAGCAGGCTGTTTGCTGTAATGAGGCATAATTGCTGGGAGGCAGAGGCAGATTCTTTTTCTTGTTTTCCTCACCAAAAGAGGTAGGTGCGGCTTATAGTCCAGTGCACTTTATACTCCGAAAAATATGGTAATTTGGATACGAATATACATCTGTTTCTTTCGTTTCTTGCCTTTTCATTGTAAATATTTACAGGTATTCCTTGATTAACAACCACTATTCACATTTTCAGGGATACTTTAATTTTGGATTTATCGGATTTATCAATGAACAGGTAGTTGGCCCCTTACAAATCTGTTTCTATTATTTTATGGCACGATAACACATATGCTATACGAAATTTATAAAGAATGTATTTCTGCTGCATATTGTCTTCTTACCTTCTGTTTTGATTCTCAGTGCTGTTCTTACTAGTGCAAATAAGGTTGCATTAAACATAACAGTTCCATCACTATTCAATGGCATATTCATAGAGACAAGACGCTATGAGGGAAGAAAAAGAAAGAAACACACTATTGAATTATGTGGCCTATTCCATATCAATTCATATACTGTTTTCCCAGTTTCATTTTATAGTAATTGTATTAAGAATTATAATTACAACAATAAAGGTTAATACAAACTGAAAAAACTAATATAAGTAGGAGATGCAGGAAAGGAAACAAAGAAACAGAAAGGAAAAATAAGAATATATTAAGAAAAGACAAGAAATATATAATTTCTCCTTCATCACAACATCCATAAACAATTTTAATAACTTATCACCATTTCTTAAAATACAACAAATACTCTTTTTCCCCATAACCTATCTCTTATCTATCAATAAAGTTGATGTCAGCAATGTCAACCCATCAGCATTGACAAAATCACCAGTGGTCTCATGGTGAGAACTAAGGAGAAATTTCCTAATATTTAAAACAATTAATCAGTGGAACGACTTGCCTCCAGAGGTTATGAATGCTCCAAAACTGGAAGTTTTTAAGAAGAGATTGGACAACTATTTGTCTGAAATGGTATAGGGCAGTGATGGCTAACCTTTTTTGCCATCGCGTGCCAAAAGCGGGGGAAGTGATGGGTGGTCATGCGCGTGCGTGCCCACACCCATAAGTATATGTGCCCTGCACCCCATGCATGTGTGCACGGCCCCCTGTGCTCCCCCCGCTTTTGGCATGTGTTGGCATGGTGGACGCTGTAGGCACATTTTTTGCCCTCCCCAGGCTCCAGAGGCTTTCTAGGACCCTGGGGAGGGCGAAAACAGCATTCCCCACCTCCCCGGAAGCCGGAAACAGCCCATTTGCCGACTTCTGGTGGGCCCAGAAGGCCCGAAAATCAGCAGGCCAGCGCGCACATGCGTGCTGGAGCTGAGCTAGGACAGCGCTCGCGTGCCCACCAATATGGCTCTGCATGCCACCTGTGGCATGCGTGCCATAGGTTCACCATCACGTGTATAGGGTTTCCTGCCTGAGCAGGGGGTTGGATTAGAAGACCTCCAAGGTCCTTTCCAATTCTGTTGTTCTATATTCTGTCAATTGCAAAAGTCAGCTTTACTTGGAATAGCTTATTTTTTGCAATGGTATCTTCACAACCATCAAACAATAACATCTATCTATCCCGGATCCTTGAGAAGGGTTTGCTAGATGGATGCCAAATCCAGTCTAAACATCTGGCAAATGTAAGCAATTCCAAGTAAAACTGACTTTTGCAATTGATCGATGGTTTTTTTTGTCAATCTTGATGGTGTTGACAAAAGTAAATACAGTATGTATTTTAAAGTGTACATTGTGCAGGATTAATTTTAATCACTATACTAATATTGAAATAATACTAATATCCAGAAAATAATTATTTTAAATAAAAATATTAAATGTTAACAAAAGGCAGTCAACTAAGCAAAAGTTTGCTGTCTAAGAAACCAGTGCACATTTCATGATAATAAGATCTATTAAACTGCATAATAGAAAATCTAGAAATCACAAGCTCTGAATATTGATATTATATTGGATGACAATTCCTATCGTCCCGTTAATATGACCAATGGTCAATGGATGGGGTTTGTCATCCATCAATATATAAGGAAAAGTAATGCAAAACAGTAACAGGAACGAAACAGAAACCTATCATACCTTGCAAGCTACCCTGTGAGGACAGAGCTTTCCGAAACCCAGAGGAGGTTGTATCCGACGCAGGAGTGTTACGACATCTAGATGTTTGATACGTCCTCTACAGGAAAATTTTTAAAAAAGAAGGCTTGTCAGGCAATATTCAAGGATATTGGTGGCTTCTTTGGAATTAGGTGTCTGATTATACCAGTGCAGGAGTGAAATCCAGCAGGTTCTGACAGGTTCTGGAGAACTGGTAGCGGAAATTTTGAGCAGTTCAGAGAATCGGCAAATACCACCTCTGGCTGGCCCCCGAGTGGGGAGGGAATGGGGATTTTGCAGTATCCTTCCCCTGGAGTGGGGTGGGAATGGGGAATTTGCAGTATCCTTCCCCTGCCATGCCCACCAAGCCACACCACATCTACCAAGCTACACCCATAGAACCAGTAGTAAAAAATTTTGGATTTCACCACTGTACCAGTGTTCTGGATGATTTCTCCTAGCAATTTCATGTAGATGTTGAACATCAGGGGATATAATAAGTAACCTTATAGGAACCATAGAACGTTTGCTTAGGTGTCAAACAATGTGTTTCAGCACTTCCTTTTGGACAGGAAAGACCAAAAGCACTGCAAAAAAACGTTCCTGTGAGCGAATGCAGCTGGGGTTGCTATCTGCATTTGGGAAAAGCAGCTGCAGCCAAGCAGATATGCTTCCCACCTTCACTTCCTCGAGGATAGACTCAGCTTATCCCTTCTCTCAAATGGCAGTGCGGCTATTGCTTGACTTACAACCACAATTGAGCCCCAACTTTCTGTTGCTAAGCAAGACAGTTGTTAAAAGCTGTTTTTTGCCCCATTTTTTACTTTTCTTGCCAGAGTTGTTAAGCGAATCACTATTGTTGTTAAGTTAGTAACATGGTAGTTAATTGAATCTGGCTTCCCATTGACTTTGCTTGTCGGAAAGTCGCAAAAGGTAATCGCTTGACCTTGGGACATTGCAACTGTCATAAATATGAGTCAGTGGCCCAGCATCTGAATTTTGATCAGATGACTATAGGGATGCTGCAATGGTTGTAAGAGTGAAAAAATCCTAACTTATTTTTTTCAATGCCCTTGTAACTTTGAGGACTACCTATAAATGTTTACAGTTCCGGAAACTTGAGAGGAGATGAGCTCATTCATTTTCATCCCTTCATTCCCCCATTCACAATTTCCTCATAAGCACTGACACTGGTGTTCCAGATGTTTAGCTAATTGAGCCAGACCCTTGTGTTTTCAGGAATGTGCAGATATATATATAGGCAGTCTTACCCCACCCAGGCCCTCAGCCTACAAAAGTCTAAACGGAGAAGACAACAAATAGACAAGAAAGCACGAAGTGATGTCTGGAACGTATGACTATTACAGGCAAGCTGGAGAGCTATCAATCAACTGCAAAGGACTACAAGCTACTGTAAGCAGCCCATTGTGATAAGATTCCTGCCTGGAGTTTGGCAGCAACCATACTGTGTCAGCACCTACTCAACAAGTGCAGGAGCATTTGGAGAGAGGCAAGGGGGTTGTATGCCACTTTACAGACATTAAGGCTTTTACTTGTTACAAGGATGATCTTTGAGGGCTTATTTATATGGCCACATCAATTTGCAAAACCTAGAAGGGTGGAGTTAATTCAAGGGAATAGGAAAGATATGTGCTACTATATTGTATTTTGTACAGTTATGAACTAAACTGTGGGATGTCCAATCTTTGGAAAACAAAGAACACTCACAAATCCCAAAGCCTGATTCCATCATAAGGTCTGGAGTTGGTGATACTGAAACCTACTGAAAATCTAGGACAAGCAACAGGTCTGCATTTTCCTCATGCAATTTCTGGCAAAGGCAATTTACCAAGTAAATAAAAGGAGTTTCAGTACCTCCTGCCGGCCAAAAGCTCAACTCAACTCAATCTAGATAATTAGTATAATTTAGATGAATGCAGAGATGTGAGGCCACTACCTTTTCAGTTGCCTAGGTGATCAAATAATTGATATGATGGGGAGTGTGCTTAGGAAGCATAATATTAATGACCTTGATTGTTTCTATATTCTTATATAATATTTCATATAGATAAATAGATAGATAGATATAGATATAGATATAGATATCAAATTTATATTTTGCTGATAAATAAAGGGAGACTAGTATAGATCTATTTCAAGCTATTTAGCTCTCATCAGCTCATCAAAATATAAATTTGGTATAAAATGGTTTGTCGTGAATGCGACTGCTTGAGGGCTCCTGGATTGGAGCTGAAAGGCGAAAGGGAGCAGAATGCCCCCTCCCACATGTTGGGATAGACCAGGTGTCTTGATAGAAACACACACACACACACAAGGTTAGATATTTTCTGAGTTCACTGAGGTAGTCTGGACTCAGTCATTTTAACTGGTTCTGACCTCCACTTTTGTAAAGATTTGTACCAGTCATTTAGCTTGAACCTAAGAAAAAAAATGATCCATCCTAGAGGGATCCCCCACTTTCAGACTATCAGTTCCACCCAAATAGAATACAAAAGCCAGCATGTGCCCTGCTATACGTATAAGACTGGATACCATTTGTCTTACTTGTGACAGGAGACATGAAATCCTAAGCAGCTCCTAAATAGAAACCTGAGTAGATGCTAAACTTTGTAGGTAGAGTTACACAGAGTCCCTTTCTTTAAGTTGTGTGGCTGGAAACTTACTTGGCTTCAGGATCATACTCTGCCCAAATCCGTTTAAACTCATCCAGATGATGGGGACCCAGAATGGACCAATCACGGGTTAGGTAATCAAAATTATCCATGATAACGGCAACAAAAAGGTTAATGATCTGTAAATAAGCACAAAAACATTCGTTCTACGAGAAGGTATTTCATGCCATAAGAATTTATATTTCAAGGTCTTTTTCAGACAAAGTGCTTCTACAATGCTCCTCTTGAAAACAATATGTAGACAAGATCAAAAGATGCTAAAAGAGGTTTCAGAATTTGCATATGGCTCAGGGATCACTACTTCGGCTCCCCTGACAGGGTTGTTTTTTTGGGGGGGGTGTTAAAAAATGCAAATCACTACACAACTTTTATAGATCGCCATAGCTACTTACTAGAAAGGCACAAAGCATGTAGAAACTGATGAAATAAAATACAGCAAAGCTGCTCCCGCAGGGATGTTCACCTTCAGTAGTACTGTTTGGTTCCACAGATTCAGGGTCACACTTCTTATCAGATAGGCATGCCAGCATGATTTCCTGCCAAGCTTCACCAGTAGCACATCTGTTGAAAATGGGGTGCAGTAGAGAAGAAGGTGGCTTATCATCACTGGTGGTGGGGGAGGTTTTAAACATTAAGTACTCAGCAAATAACTCACAAGATAATTGTGTCTCGCTGGCTCAGATCAGGGGTGGGTTCTACTTACCTTTACTACCGGTTCGCAATGGGATCGCACGCTTCTGCGCATGCGCAGATCGCCAATGACAACATCGGGGCAGTGGGCGGAGCCTCCCGTCGGTTTTACTACCGGTTCTTGCGAACCGGTCCAAACCGGGGCACAACCCATCACTGGCTCAGATGTCTGCAGCATAGAGCAAGTCATACTTCATAAGCAGCCACAGACGTCTGATAAAATGTCTATTGTACCTGATAGTTTGGGTAGCTGGTCTACACAAAGCATTCTGAGATTTGGAAAGTATCAGATCTTATGCCTCATAAAACCGGTATTAAATTCAGAGGAATTAAAAATAAAAGGACTAGTACAATTTGGCCTCTGGGAGAAAAAGATTAAACCGTTTTCCTAAAATATGATGAAATCAAATACGCTTCGGGGTTAGCAACGCTTTGTGGTTGGAAGATTTTTTTTTTTAATTTTTATTTTTTTCAGTGTTGCCATCATGGAAGAAGGCAGGGCCAACATTTAAGTCTTACTGGAAGATTTTTTAAAAAATGCTGGTTTAGGCTTACTAACCATTCTAAAGACTTGGTGCCCTTGATTTTTTGAGTTCCTATTGGAAGCTGCAACATTATTTTTCAGTAATGAAAAATAAGACACTGAGACAACACCAACCAAGGGACTTTGGAGGTTTTATATGGGTTGCCTGCCCTGGCTTCCCTTGTTGCGACCTACCTGAAAAGCAGGAGCACAGCCTGAGGAAATGTTTGAAAGTTGTTGTTCCGATTGATATCTGAAGTATCGTTTAGTGCAATTTTACCAAACACCTAATAAGAGAAAAAGTTGATTCAAGGTAACGTTTCATTCCACAAGATATTCCTGTATCTGATAGGCTTAATATTCTCATTCTAATAAACTTATAAAATATATTCTACATTCAGGCAGTCCTCAATTTACAGCAGACTTAAATGCTTTCACATTCCAGAAAAAACAAATATAGGTAATCCTCAACTCACAACAGTTCATTTAGTGACTGTTTGAAGTTATAATGGCACTGAAAAAAGTGACTTACGACCAAATTCAGACACTTGACACCTGATTCATATTTATGATGGTTGCAGTGTCCTGGGGTCATGTAACTACCTTTTGCTATCTTCTGCCAAGCAAAGTCCGTGGGGAAGAGAGATTCATTTAGCAATCATGTTACTAACTTAACAACTGCAGTGATTCACTTAACAACTGTGGCAAGAAACATCTCAAAGTGGAGCAAAATTTACTTAACAAATGTCTTACTTAGCAGCAGAAATTTTAGGCTCAATTGTGATTATAAGTCGAGGCCTACCTGTATTTGCATGGTTCTGATATCTCAATTCAACATTTGACATCTTCCCACTGCACTGGATGTACATCTGATTGACAGTCTCCATCTATAACAGTGGTCTTGGCAATTTTGGCAATTTTAAGACTTGTGGACTTCAACTCTTAGAATTCCTCAGCAAATTCTGGGAGTTGAAGTCCACAAGTCTTAAAATTGCCAAGGTTGGAGACCCCAGCTCTATATTACACTCTGATCTAATCTTTTTATTTTGGCTTTAGTTCTTAAGGTATTCACCATTCACTATTCCAATTTGCTCAAGAAACATTTTGCAGACTTCATTTTGCTTCAATAGGCGCTCTTCTTTATACATGCAAAGGATATTAATAAAAATAGTAGATTATTTTAAAATGAAATTCTGGAGTTATAATACAGGGCATTAGTTGTATAAAATAAGAAGGCTAATTATTCTGTCTCTTCATAAACTGTCCTAAAATTGCTTAGGGAAACTAAAAATGTTGTGCTAAGAAATCCTGTATATTGCTATACTCTTTAAGATATTTATAAGCAAGGTGTTCTGTAAGGATTAGTTTTCTCAATTTTACCTTCAATAAGTACACTATTTTCAAGATTTTCAAAGATCAGTACTTTTTTGTCATGAAATTAATGAAATTTTGGAAATGTGAAAAACATAAGGGACATCTTGGGTTTCAAATGATATGACCACTTGATTTATTAATGCTTTCACTCTCTTGAATTGCACACTTCCCTGATACCCAATTTAGCCCAGTAGCCTGATGCTCTACTAATAGTTGAACTGCTGCTGATTATCTTTTCTTCATTTTCACCCTATGCTTTCTTCTTTTTTCTCTTTCTCTTACTTCTTTTGGGCAATAGTGAATGCAGATTATGAATGATGTGATGGACTGTAGTAAGGAGTGGATTCTTAGGAGAGAATGATGTATTCCAGAAGAGAAAGAGGCAACTCAGTCCAGTTATTACCCATGAGGGAAAGAGGGTGAAGGCAGCCCCTTCTTATTAGTTGGCAGTGTGTGTTGTAGATGCACATAGTACAGTGCTTATTCTGGCGAAATTTTGTCTATAGATGTGAAACAATAAATAACTCAGCTTGGAAGAATCACCACATGTTATTCTTGGTTTGAGGCCTGGCAGATGGTAAGATAGGAAATAATTCTATAAATAATCAAGACAGACTGAATCCGTTATGCTCGTCTTGGTACTTGAGAAAAGTGGTTTGGAAAATACTGCAGGTTTAAAGCACCTGCACATCCTTCCATTTTCTGAAAGAGTTTCTGTTCCTAATGACCTAAAAAGGATTGTGAGTCTTAAAAGTAGACGTTTCTGTTCTGCAGATTTATGTAGCCTAATCCATGTTACCTTAGTTGGGTAATGAAATATCTGCAAGCAAACAACCAAGTTTATTGAAACAAATAATTCCCTCAGCACTGTCAAACTATTTACTAAGTCTGCACTACTATTAATCTTCTCATCGTTCCCACCACCCATCTCCTTCCACTTATGACTGTATGACTGTAATTGTGTTGCTTGTATCCTTACGATTTATATTGATATTGTTTCCTGATTGCTTATTTGTGCCCTATGACTATCATTAAGTGTTGTACCTTATGATTCTTCATGAACGTATCTTTTCTTTTATGTACACTGAGAGCATATGCACCAAGACAAATTCCTTGTGTGTCCAATCAATAAAAATTCTATTCTGTTCTGTTCTGTTCTGTTCTGTTCTGTTCTATTCTGGTCTAGTCTAGTCTAGTCTAGTCTAGTCTAGTCTAGTCTAGTCTAGTCTAGTCTAGTCTAATCTAGTCTAGTCTAATCTAGTCTATTCTGTGAGGTGGATTGGGCTGAGAGAAATGATGAGCCAAAGTCACCCAGTTGTCTTTCATGCCTAAGGTGGGACTAGAATTCACAGTCTCCTGGTTTCTAGGCCAGCACCACAATCACTACACCATTCTGGTTCTCCAGCATGAATGACTGCAGGATTAAGTGGAGACCATTCTCTGCTAGGGCCTAAAGAAAAAAAACCCTCTTCCTCACAAGAGATAGAAATGGGTCTTATCTTTTCCCCCATGGCCCCTAAGTAAAAACTCACTGGAAGGGATCAAGGAAGAAAAATTCTCCCTCAGGGGCAGGTTTTATTTCTCCCACAGGCTCTTGAAAAACGTTTTTCCCCCTTAGTCCCAACCAAAAGCTCTCTGCAGAGACTAAAGGAGGAAAAATTCTTAGCAAGGGATAGAGCGTTTTCCCTTGAAGAAAGCTTACCCTCCCTCCCCCGCCCTCTTAGTCACTAGTGTACAGTGGATGAGATTTCAAAATTACTATTACTATTAATCTTCTCATCGTTCCTATCACCCATCTCCTCCCACTTATGACTGTATGACTGTAACTTGTTGCTTGTATCCTTACGATTTATTTATTTATTTATTTTTATTAATCATATTTCTATGCCGCTCACTCTCCGAGGACTCTGAGCGGCTTATAACAATCAATCGTATACTAAATAGCATATTGCCCCCAACAATCTGGGTCCTCATTTTACCCACCTCGGAAAGATGGAAGGCTGAGTCAACCTTGAGCCGGTGAGATTTGATCTGCTGATCTGCTGAACTAGCAGTCAGCTGAAGTAGCTGCAGTACAGCACTCTAACCACTGCGCCACCTCGGCTTATATTGTTTCCTAATTATATTATATTGTTTCCTAATATGATTTCATTGCTTATTTGTACCCCATGACTATCATTAAGTGTTGTACCTTATCATTCTTGACTAATGTATCTTCTCTTTTTATGTACACGTATACACCAAAGACAAATTCCTTGTGTGTCCAATCACACTTGGCCAATAAAGAATTCTATCTATCTACTGAACACTAAAGATTCCACTAAACTATTTTTAAAAATCTGATAAGTCTTTGTGAGAATTTTAGGCTCAAATTTCCTGAACTATACTGGAATCACAAATATTGGGTGAGTCATGAAAGTGCCTTGAGCAATACAAGTAGTCCTTGACTTACAACAATTCATTTAGTGACTGTTCAAAGTTACACCACCACTGAAAAAAGTGACTTATGGCAGTTTTTCACACTTAAAACCACTGTAACATCCCCATGGTCATGTGAACAAAATTTCATGTTTATGACGGTTGCAGTGTCTCGGAGTCAAGAAAGATTGTAAAAAGGGTTAAAATTCACTTAACAAATGTCTCATTTAGCAACCAAAATTTTGGGCTCAATTGTGGTCATAAATCGAGTATTATCTGTACATCAGCACCTCTAATGTGCCACTGCAAATCCTTGAAATCTCCATGTTTGTATATTTCTAGCGTATGCATCTAATATGCATCTAATATAGTTTATGCGTCCCTACTGTACATCCCTACTGTATAAAGTACGAATATCTGCAGCCTTACAGGGCATGAGCAATATACCAAATTAGTGATGATGGAGAGGAGCAGCAAACTAGTCACTCAATCACTTGTGCTGAACAAACAAACAAACAAACAAACAAACAAACAAACAAACAAACAAACAAACAAACACAGACGATTTGCTTCCTGGTCTAAGGCTAGGCAGTAATTATCACTAGTTGTGTGGATAGGAGACAACGCACACAGAACAAACTAGAATCACCTATCCTGCGTGTCCATCTGGCAATCTGGTATCTTATGTAAACTATTCTATTTTGGGGTTCATATGCAAAACCTTTGGAAACTCTGGTTGAATTCTGCACAAATGCAGATTGTTCTGACAGTTGTAAGTGCTGACAGTAACCAGCTTTTTAAAAGTAGAGAAGTGCAAAACAATAGTGCAAATTAAGCATCCAAACCAGACAGAGCTTTTAAAGGGAGGTTCTTCTAAGTCAGTCGCCTGAGGAGCCCTGGAACTCTCTGGGCTCAGATTCTCCAACTCACTAGTTAGTAATGACAGTTGCAGCTGCTCTGAGGGGGCGCTGGGAGTTACTACTGCAAGAGGACAAATTAAACACTCTGAGGCAGGCCATATTTTTCATTTCAGGAAACAAAATGATAAGGCAGAGTTTCTACGTGGAGAAATTTCTTTTGTCTTTTAGACTCTGCACATAATCACGAGTACCATTTCGGCTAAAATCTACTTTTAATTTTACTTATTAGCAATATGAAGAAATGGTTGCAGTGCTAAAAAATAAAAAAAGCACAAAAGCAGATTCTTTTTCCGACCATGTTTACTGAGTCTTTAAGTGAGGGTTGGGCTGAGGAGAAAGGACTGGTCCAAAGTCACCTAGCCAGATTTCATGCCTAAAGGAGGACGAGAATTCAGTTTCTAGTTCAGCACCTTTAGTCATGACAGCAAACTGGCATTACTCTTATTAACCCACACATAAAATTAATTTAGATTTAGCCAAAATAAATTGGCATTTTTATTTTAGACTCCCTGACTTCATGTTCAGGTAATAGGCCTCCATATGACATAGTCCTTGAATTCACTTGAAGATTCTTTTCTATAATTCCCTCTCCATATGCTTGCAACAGAAAATATTAAATCTTAGAAAGACACTTACCTGCATCCCAATGACGGCGTAGATAAAAAACAGCATTACTATTAATAGAGCCACATAGGGGAGAGCCTGGGGAAAAAAATCAAAAGCAGGTAATGATGAATCATTTATGAAGAAAGCTAACTTTTTGGAACTTGGGATACAATGTTCCCGTATTGAAAGCACCTGAGAGCATAAGACCAGAGGCAAATATTTCTTTGACTGTACAATCTGCAGTAGAATGCATATGGATGCATTTACATAACAATGCATCAGAAAGTAAAACATTAGATGATCTTGTGCATCTCCCTTTAAAAACTTGTGTGCACATACTATCATTAATGTAAACTATTTATTTCTCCACTAGATGACTCTACAGATCCACTGTTGTTTTGCCATAACTAATCCTTCTAACAAAACATTCTATCTCTCTTGTCATTACTATTTCTTTTCACAATAATATTTTTCTTAGAAAAAACAGTGCTTGCTGCCTATTGTCTATCAGATCTGTAAAACCATTTTTCTTAATATTTATATATATATATATATTTCGCTCCAGATAGATAATGATTTCAGCATTTGTTGTAATAATACAACTTTAAACATCAATAACTCTTCTCTATTTAAAAATTTTATGTGCCAACTGTTACATTAATAGTTTTTTAAAAGTAAGATCATTGTTAAATTGTTAAAAGATATAGTCAAAAATTTAGAAATGAGGAATGCATAGAATAGAGCCAGAACTATCTAGTATAGAAATATGGATCCAATATTTTGAATTGCAGTATTTTGGACTAAATATATATGGGAAAAATGTTATTATAATTCACTCAATAAGAAATTATTTGAGCTCCATTAATTTTATTTCCATCAATGGGCATGGAGCTTTACAAAGAGAAACTGTGTTGAAAAAAGTAGTCCAGTAGATATTGGACTCTGGTCATCATATTTCAGAGATAATTGAAAAACATTGCTTCCTGAAATTAGAATGAAAGTGAACGTATCATTTTGTTCCACTTAGACAATCAAATTTCATTTATCTATAATTGTCTGAGATACTTCTAAGAAGTAGTAATGTTATTCAAGAGTTGAATCCCTCTTGCAGCCACCATGTTTCTTCATTACATGGGCACTTATAAATGTTATAAAAAATTACAGGTAGTCCTCGACTTACGGGCACAATTGGGACCAGATTCCATTGTTAATCATGGCGCTTAAGTGAACTGTGCCTGATTTTACGATCCTTTTTGCCACGGTTGTTAAGCAAATCAGTGCAGTTGTTAAGAGAATCCCAGTCATTAAGCAAATCCTGCTTCCTCCATTGTCTTTGCTTGTTGGAAGCCAAATGGGAATGTTGTAAATGGCAATTACATGACCCTGCAGCCAGCTGCCTGAATTTGATTATGCGACTGTGGGGATGCAGCAGTGATCATAAGTGCAAGGACTGGTTGTAACTCATTTTTTTCTGTGTCGTTATAACTTCAAACGGTCACTAAATGAATGGTTGTAAGTTGAGGACTACGAGTATGTAGGATTGACCTGGGAATCTAGAAAGTTCAGCAAGAGTCGCATAGAGAATAAATCTGAATGAAACCTTCTGCAGGTAGAGAATTGGTATACTGCAGAAAGAAATCAGTAGGTTTGATTTGGACTGGAGACTGCTAAATACGTATTTGCATGGGACCATTTCTGAAGTCTCGGATCTGTCTTCTGGTCAGCTGTATTCTTTTTATATATAAAATAATGTATGTCATTTCTTTTCTTTTTTTTTCAAATGATAATTTGTGATTAAAGAATTGTTGTGGAGTCAGGGGACCTTAAAATTGAAATAGCTCCAGCCACAGTGGGATCTCAGTTTTGTGGCCACCTGCATAGACTTCACCCTTGCATCCATGATTTTATGTCAGCTGGAAAACAAGACCAAGATATGCATAAGGGTTTGGGTCTCTTGCCATGTTTGGACTGAGTCCAGTTGCCAGTAATGGCCATAGATCAGCCTTCCCCTACCTGGTGCTCTTAAGATGTGTTGGGACTATCACTCCCATCATCCCCAGCCAGCATGTGGTCCAACACATCTGGAGGGTGCTATATTGGGGAATGTTGCATAGCTGAATGATTCCCCAATTGCATCAGCAAGCTGACCTGATGGACGGAAAGTGCACCTTTATTTTAATATAAAAACAATTTTACTATAAAATTGTTGTATTCACTTTCTGCCTTAACACTTGTATTGACAGGAATAAAACTCTCAGTTTAGGGTCCAATAATTTTGCAATTGGAGAAGTGTGTGACTCGTACAAATTTCTTTCTTCTTTTTTTTTTTTTTTTAAAATAACTGTTTATATTTGAGTTTCAAAGTCCTCTACCCCACCAAGCTTCATTCCATCCATCCATCCTAATCCTGAGATTCCTAGATGTAGAAACGAATTTATCCTGGGCAGAGACCATTCAGAAATCGTTGCCATATCCCATAGAAGCATGTAATGCGAAGAGCAGACTGAAACGTGACAGCTGCCCCAAGGTAAGGCCACATAATGCAGAAGGAAGGAATACCTGGAAAGACTTGATGAAGGTCCAGAGCAGCGTGCGGATGCCCTCCCCTCGACTCAAGAGCTTCACCAGACGCATCACACGGAAGAGTCGGAAAAAGGTGATTGAGATGCGAGAGTTGTCCTCTGTGTTCTGGAACCCATTGGCACAGAGGGCAGTAGTTACAACAGCAGGTGGAGAAAACCCACCCTGGGCCACAGAAAATGCGACTCCACAGGAAGAGCTCACTGCACTGTTCCCCTGCCTTAGAAGACCCCCCCTCCCGTCTTTTACTACCCTAATCTCTTCTCTAAATCCCTATGGTAAGTCTATATATTCCCCACATCCTTCTTTTCAATTCGCTGTAGTTGTTCAGGAACGTTTCAAGTATTATTCTCCTTGTTTTAACAAGAAGAACTGGCCAGGGGTCTTGCTGGTAATGTGAAGCCATGTTTGCCTACCTCATTGATTAAAGGGTCATAACAAATGGCCAGGGAGAACATTTGGGTGCGACATTATTTAGTCTGCGGAAAGTAGGCATGCAGTTACATTTTTCTCCACAATATAATGAAATTATATTTTACAATGACATCAGTATAATGAAATCATAGAAGTGTAGCTGTAGTTTACACCGTATCAGAGGATTTTAAAAGGAATATTGCAGATACTTGGCTCATTTAAAAACAAACAAACAGCGCACACACAAATGTACTGTGTTGTTTGGTTGGGAGAAACGACGATTGCCCAAAATGCTATAAACAGAAGCTGTTACATTTGTGTAAATATTACACATCAGATAGGATTCTTCCTCCTTTGTACTGAAAAAACAGACACCCCACATTTGGGGAGTTTGGAAGGAACGGGCAATTAAACAAAACCCCAATACTCAGATACAGAGTAAGCAGGCTATACAAAACGTGTTTCATTTTCTTGCATGCTGAATAAGAAGTTCCTAATCCAAAAGGAGATAACAATTTTTAGCCATATGGACTAACAACCCAGCAAAAAACATGCAATCGAAACTGGGATAAGGGACCTTCTCTGTTCTCTTCCCTGCAGAAATCCCACAAAAATGGATGCATGTTATGTGTATAATGTCTGAAGCATGCTTATATGGGGTTTCTTCTTGCAAGGAGAAGTCCTAACTTTAAAATACGTTCAGTTTATCTCTGATATACTTAATCTCAGCAATATGAGGAGCAGTAGCCATTTCAAAGTTTGCTTTTTCAATGTGTACTGCATTATAAAACACAAGTGCTTCTTGTGTTTTCCTGTAGTTCCCTACTACATCTTCGCTTATTTTCCCTGTCCCCAATTTTATTTCTCATGACCCCTGGGTATTTCCCACAGCCTGTCCACTGCCTAAATAATATAGTTATTTTGGCCTGCCACTACTGTTTAATAGTTCCTAGAGTTTAAAATAGCTTTTTTTTCTAAGTGGCCTCTGATGTTCTCATAGCTTAGTCCCTTAGCACAGGACTCCTCCATACTATTCCCTTTGGGGGCTTGTGACTTACATGGACACTGCACTAAGCCAGGATAAACCTGAATCAAATGGGGTCAACTAGTTTCTTTTGGCTTTTGTGAGAAGGCTCCCTACCAAACAGACTGCTGGTATGGAATTGGGTAATGGCGTTACCAAACCATACAAGATAGACTAGTGAAGGATGAAGAGTTTTAGTGCCCTAAGATATGGTCTACTTCTCCTACATATGCTGTAGAACGCTGGCAGATTTCAAAGGAAGTAATAGCACATTCTTTCTTCTTAAGCTCTATAATTTCCCATGGCTTCCAGCAAACTAACAGTTTAATGCTCTCTCTCTCTCTCTCTCTCTTTCTGATCTATCTGGAAACAGTGCAGATCACCTACCACCCAACAAACATATCTCCCAATTTGAACTACTCACCACTTGTAGTGACCATGAGAGAACAGGTCCTTTGATTTCCTGTTACGAATTTAACACTAGCTCTTCTACCCTGTATTTATGTGTCTATGTGCATATACATAGAGTTTAAATCTTGAATTATATACAAAACTGTATATAAACAGTTTGCAATTTTCTGGGTTTTTCCCTCTATAATTTATATGTAAAATGCATCATTTTTCTTTTTTAAAAATGAGGCATAATTAAGATACTGCGAATCAAACCTATTGAATTATTTAAAACGCATATATAGGCTTTTATTTTTTGGGGGGGGGATTTCAGCAGGCTTGCAGAAGTCAATGACTGGTTTTAATACTTAGAAACATTTCCTGAAATATGCATGAAAATAATCTTGTTCTAGAATTAATGAACACTTGCGGTTGAAGGTAGGCTGTTCAGCTCAGAAAGGAAAAAAAAATGCTATGATACATGCAGTTCCCAAGTCTGACAACCAATTTTGTTCAGGATATAGAATTTGCTGAATTAAGTAATGTAGTCAAGAAAAAGGACATTAACTGACTTTTTAAAGTGAACCAATGTGGAACTGTGGGAAATACAATGTTCTTTAGAATCGTATTATTAGACCCACAAATTATTTTACTACGTAAGGGACACTTTATGCTATTGTAATGTTATTGAATTTGGTTAAGTGATTGCCATCATTCCCTACCTTCACTTCAGAGCCATAGCCATAGAGCATTACAACATGTCCTATCTAATCATGAGGAATTTACCACAGGCATTGCAATGTGAAGTTATAGTGAGATGAAATAAGAGAAAATAACATTAACGGCTCCAGGTAATATTCATCTCAACCAACCAATAATGGTATCATAGAATGGTAATAGCTTAAAAGCATAATATGTGCTTAATAAGCTCCCATTTGCCTCTTAACATTATTTCCTGGATGGCAGGAATGGGTGTTTCAAGCATATTGTCCACAATATGGAAGTATGAACAAAAAAAGGGGAAATCAGTGGCCCGGCATACAGTACGTCAACCACACTAATCCAGTCAGAAGTACATTTCCTTCTCTCTTCCCTCACCTTCAATTAGAGATCCTTCAACAGGGTGAATTAATCAGGGTGTAGGTGTGACACTGTCTTGGGCAAATGAGCTGGAAGGATTTGTTCACACAACTAGAATTGCACTGTGACCACATCTCATATTCTATGTGGGTCTTTATTGTCTGATTTTATTTTTGTATGAAGATATGAATATTAGCTTTCTTCTCTGTTTGAATTTTTTTTTTGCAAGCCAATCCACTTAATTCAAAGAGCTCATTTTTTAACAAACAAGAAATCCGAAAAGGGTTCCAGTTCTCTCTTGGTAATAACTCATTATATGGTAGGACAACAGATAACTTGATTGAAGAAAAAAATCAAGGATGCACATGAAATACAAATCATGTGCAGAATAATCAATACCAGACTCTACAGATGGATTCACAACATGGAGATTACATGCAGGGATAACTGGGCCAGGTTTGGAGACAGAAACCTTAGTAGTTAAGGTGGCAAGAGAATAAGGCATGTATTAGAAGATTAAGAAGTGTTACAGGAGAAGATGGTTAGGTTTTTGTCTAGGAATGCACACAGGGACAACAAAAATCACAGCAAGGAAGGAAGGATATAAAGAAAAAAAAATAGGATCACACAGTAGAAAAGACACTATAGATTCTCTGGAATGCAATGGATCAAATTCAGCCATTATTAAAGAGTCCTCTTATGGAATTCAGCAGATTGCACACATTCACACAATTGTATTAATAGGGGTTATGAATTTTAATCCATTGTTTTACAGATATACAGATAATTGAATCTTATCAAAAAGATATTGTATAGTTCTCAGGTTAGTTTTATATTTCTTTTCAGAAAGTGCATTCCTTTAGACTCCAAACTTATAGCTATTTTCTTGGAAAAAGAAATGATGAAGTCCAATTGTTTTAGGAATACAACTATATTAACTGAAGTGATAGAACTTTCCCTTGACTAATCTAATTTCGTTCTCAGTACCAAGAGCACAAATGTTAGAATAAAGTAAAGCTTCAAATCTCTGGACCTTCATTTATCAGACTAAGGACAACAAGAGACAAAATTTTACTTCAGACTTAATTTCCACAATGAATATATTCCATTGTTTCCAAAGCAGTCCAGACAATTGATGTAACCTATGTAATTTGTGTGGTTACCTGACAATTTTAACATTAGTTAAATAATGATGCAAAAGGCATAAACGTCACTATGAAAATTGAATTTTAATGGACATTCCATCCATAGAACTGAAATGTTATTATATATTTTTTTTAAAAAAATGACATCAGGATCCATTTTCACTGCTGGGTTTTCCAGTTAATTAATATTAAAATAAAGCCAAGATGTTTTGCTATATATAAGAAATAAACAATCTCCACATATTCTAGAGTACAGCTTCTACAATCCCTTGCCAGTGGCCATGCTAGCTGGGCTGATCAGTCTTACGTCTAAACTATTCGATAGTTGGCAAAAGCTAAGAGGACTTGATATAACAATATTCTTACCTTTCTACCAAGTAAAGTTTCTGATGTCTTTAATGTGGTTGATTTTTATTTCTGTGTAACATTCAGTTTTAGTTACAGTCTTATAAAAAATCTGGAGACGTGTCCTATTGGACATAATTAAACTTATTCCTGACTAGAAATGTACAGGATTGAATGTTATGTTTTTTTAGATTACAGAAAAGGCCCACCTATTCTATTTGAAATATTAACCAATCTGGAGCAACAGGTATGATAGTCATCTTTGCTTTACCTCCAGCAATTGTCAATTAGAGGTTTATAACTCTGACATTTTTAACATGGTTAGCAGTCATTGTACAATTTATCATTCATGAAATTGTCTTATTTTAAAATTTTATATTTTAAAAATATTGGCTATTTCCCCTTTCTGTGCCATAATTTTGGTGATAAACTGATAATCTTAGATCTAAAGTAATTGAAGTTTGAATATAGTTCAGATTACATTTTTATAATAATCGGTTTTTGAATAGTAAAGAGAATAAACCGGCCCATTCATCACATTTTTATAAATGGAGAATTTTATGCGTATAGTCTCAAAAATGTATGTTCTGGGTTTTTTATTACTGAGAATATTAACATGTGTTCTCAATTAGGTTTGTTTCTGTCCAAAGTAGTATTTCGTATAGTGAATGTATTAAATGTATCGGTAGACCTCATTTTATGACTGCCTC